CCTACTCTGTATGTCAGGATTGACCGCCACGTGTCTTCTCGCCAAATGAATTTGCAATACTTTATATCGCGTGGCCCACGCCAGATCGTGGTCTTCAGATAGCTGTACCTTGATCGCGGTCTTCCGATCGCGGTTCCTTGATAATTCTACAGTTCGAGACCGTGTGGACTACATGGGTTGAGCCCGTTGGGCCTCCCAACGGTAAAATCCAAATAACTGGCTACCATTCCGCGATCGATTCAGCCAAAACCACCTGTTAATTAGCCGAATCGCTTAGGCTTTTGGACACGATCTCGATCGGCTTTACCACAGGGTCAACCAGTGACCCTGACGCTTCTCACCAGTAACGGGAGCAGCAGGCGGGTCCACGCCTGAAGCACAATGTCGTCGACCAGCTATCGGCACAGTGGGAGCGTAGTGTGAGCGTAACGCATCCAGCAGCTGGCCTTTGGCCCTCAATTTGGCGAAATCATAACGGATCTTTCGTTCGATAATTCTGACGGACGCCAGAATTATCGACGCTTGCTTTTAAAGCCATCATTCTGCTCAAGCGTCGTGATCGATGCACCCAGCAAACAAACGCATTTTCTTTGGCGGCCAGTTCCTTTTCGTCTAGGAAAACGGGGAAAGCTCTGGTCGGTGGTTATAGTATTCCATGATCTTGCTTTGCTGGCCTTGCCGTAAATTAAATCTGAGTCATCACATATGCCACCAGGTTTCTCTCACATAATACGCTACATGCTTCGATAACTTCAGTGTTGTGGCATTCGGGACGATGTTTTACAATGTCAAAGGTTGACCCATGGTCTATAAAACGGAGACTCTCCTCCAACTAAGAGGGGTGAAGTCAATTATGACTTTCGAGTTTGCAGTAATCTGAGATCCGCGTTGATTGCTCTACTGATGTTAAAAGAGCACCATCTCTTGTTCCTTATCGAGCTAGTTCATGATGACCGCGGACTCAAACATGGATTTAATGTGAAGCGCTATAAGCGCATTAGCATCCTACGCTCGGGAAATGGATTAGATGCCTTTCTCAGACTGTCTCGCACATTGGTGTGCTGGTTTTGGATTCAAAAATCACTACTATAGCCCACTTTCTCCTTCTCAATGCAGAGGGGGTTGGGACGAGTCGAAGACTCGATTGCCATTGCCACATCTATAGCGCTTAAATCAACCGTAAGTTTTACTGTTCATCAACTGCCTCGCTGAGGTAGTGATCGATTGACGTTTTTCGGTAACGTCAGTCTATTGGGAGAGGGTGTAACGAGCTCACACGGCGGTTACTGCCCTAAATGAATATACCTTGTCTAATTGATGTACAGCTATCAAGTTTTTTTGTAATGACTGATGTGGTTATTAGTCCCAGTCATCGATTGACGACGGATTGACGTACCATCCATAATTTTTCTAAATTACCAAGATTACTGTGATAATCAATAATTTTTTTTGTATTTGGTGATCGGCTGAGGTCTATTATAGATTAAATTTAATAGTAAAAAGCAGTTTCAATTTTGATCTAGTGTTGACACGTGTCGTTTTTAGACGTCGGCAGATTGCAAAGAGTAAGAGTCTTCTTGTGGATCGTACACTAGAGCACTTAATGCGTAAGGTTCTTCGAATGGTTTCCAGTCCCATAAACCAGGACTAGCAGCTTTACGAGCTTGAAGACTCTCTGGGAGTCGTTGTTATTTAGTTTAAAGAATTAGATACTCTTCAAACCTATAGAATTTACTCCCACTGAACTAGATGGCGTAAAGATCGTGCGTCTTTCTCTGACTAAGCTTTGTATTTCCGCTGCAAACTTACTCCACAACCTTTTTCGAACGGATTCTGAATATTGCTAAAAGATAGCGCACGCAACGGGGACGTGTGAAAGAGATGCCGTACTTAACCTTATTTTACAAGCGCTGCTGTCCGCATTCAGCAGCCGTAGATATTTTTGCAACCCCAAGAAAGACCTGTCTACGCTAGAATTATTCCAAAGAAAAACATGTAAAGGGATGCGTCCTTATTCGATCATATAGAAGACCGCTCATGAAAACAGAAATTGGAATACATGGAAGTTTTGAAGCACACACTTGGTTGTCACTTAGTGTATGGTAAATTTGAAAAAAAAATCAGCTCGGCTTTCCATAGTGTACAACTCTTTATGCTTGATGTGATCATCAGTGCAATGTGTATTCACATCGCTTACAGCTTCTGTGTAACGGGGTGAATCGTTACATAACAATTTATAAGAAATTGTTAATAGAATATAACTATAAGAGTTATATTCTCAGAATATTGTCACAAGGACAAATATTTTGTAGCACTCACGAGTAGTTCCTAATTGGTTGATATAGGCCATTATATCAACCAACGAAGACGCGCCACGACAGACGCACGCAATGAGTGGTGAGCAGATAGTTGATTTACACATTTGTATTTAGACATAGTTAGATGGAGATAAATAGTGATTTATTAACAGACATTAACTATCATAAATACAGTTCTACTTTTTACTTTAACCAAGTACTCGCTTCTTCTTACCGTCTTCCTCTGCACGTACGAGTGTACGTGAAGTTACGAGGCACCGCCTTATTCTATCATCAGAATAAGTAGCTTGTACTGTCACCAGTACAAGCTTCAGGGTGCCCCGTTACATTCTGACCTCATAAACATAACGTAGTACACTCCGTCTAGCGTTTCATTTCTATTCGTTTACAATTTGATACGCTGAAGCTGACCTGACGGCTGTTTGTCCAAAGTGACTTGAAGCCGCACGCGGTCGTCTTTTCCTCAATAATCTGACGGCTCCCTGACCTCGATCATCCTGTAAAGTACCAATTGGGCCTAAATGTCGTTTCTAAATGACTCATGTAAAGAAACAACCATTTTTAAGCTAGACACTGTTTTAAGGTTACTTTACCCAAAAGGTAAACTTGGTTTCGCGCGAATGACTCGCGCATACCCGCTGTCAATACTGTTTAATTTGCGTTTCGTGGGCCGATCTTGTGATGGTCGCAATGACAGCTTGACCACCGGGTAATATCATTTATTTCGCTGAACTTTAGAGATCATGGAACGAGATACGAAAGCGAGAAAGAATACATTTCATACTTAGTAACGGACAATCATAATAAATTTTTGAGGACAAGTCCGTTTACATATCAAAAAGGGATCGAACCTATCAACATCTTGTTTTATTATGCTGTAAACTTCTTGTTATTCTTGGAATAGCCTGCCGACTGGGCATCAGTATCTATATATGTTAATTCTTAATTACAATTAATACCACTTTCGTGTGGGCGTCTGTGGACTGTATGTATCCAGTAAAAACACCTTTAAAATAGTGGCATTGCCATGCCTTGTACTATGCTGTTTGGATTGATTGTTTATTGTTTACTTAGTGCGTTGCCCAAAAAGTTGCCAGACATTTGATATATAAATGTTAAGGGAATAAATATCAGTTATGCGTTAGGAGTATTGGGTTTGACAGGAAGGTGTGAATGTAAGGAAAAGAGGTGCGAACGTATTGATTTTCAATATTTATTATTTGTGAAGTATGCAAGAAAAATAAAACCCCGTACGAATTAGTAAACGATCAAATGTGTTCCACATTAGTACTTGTATACGTCTATCGTTCATTATACGCACGAGTACCGTACTTACGCAAACTGGCTTATGTTCGCATAAAATTTCGGGTCAAGCGGTTGACGCTGCGCATCGTGCCCCGCCTGCGCGATGATGATATGTTGACGTGTCGTCAAGATTTGACGAGCAAGAGGATCATGCCGGACGAAGAGAAGTCGAAAACGTTGACAGGGTTCACAGTCATTTCACTTATGATCCGGGTATGATTGCTGACGTCAACTTTTTCACAGCCGGCCGCGCGCTCTCAGATCTATCATCGAGGTGAATTTGACGATTACAAAGGATGGTAGTCCACCAAAATGTGTCATCGACTGAATGAATCCTAAACGTTTTGTACCGTCTTTGACTTTGTGGATTCGGAGATTCACTTGGTTTCGCGTCTGAATTTGGTGCTACGGACCAAAAAGTGCTCTCCAAGTTAGAGGGACGAGCTGCTAAAAGCACGCTGACCGTGTCTGTCAAATGTGTCTGCTGCCCCGTGTGACCAGAACTTTCGCATTGCAAATTTGCCATCGTGATTAGATGCGCAGCAAGACGAATTACGAGCATTGGTGCGGACCGATAAAGTTTGCATTTAGACACGCGAAGCGGGACGTTCGCTGGTGAAGTAGTGCAATCGTCTGAATTCAGCTGCTTATGGTGGTATTGAGGATGATGATCCAATTGGTGCATTCCGAGCACGTGTATGAGGGTGCAGTATTGTTACCGTCCTAAGCGAAAGAATGCACACAGGCTTTGGTACCTCGGTCCTCTTTTAGCTCCTGTGTTTGCCTTGTTTGTATGTTGCTGTATAGGTCTTGTTCATGTGCCTCCACTGTCATGCATTAAACATGAGCAATGAACCAGTATGCTGAATGTCCTCACTTCAATATGGTGGCTGCACTATGGCACGAAGCAAATTTGTGAAATATTAGCACAACTGTAGGCGCAGATTTGAAAGAGAACTCTGTCGAGAACAGAGCGATGCGGGTACACTTGAAAGATTACAGGCATGTGTGTATTCGTGCGTAGAGTGTACGTCCTAGGTGTGCATCTTTTATTCAGTTCAATCGGTCTCCACTGCGTAGCTAAACGGCTCCAGACTTTAAAGCGCTGCGACGACATCATTGACTTCCGCTCCGACGGACGTTTTTCTGCATCACGATAGCATTTCCACATTCCATTCACATGCACCGATAACGAACACCAGCGTCTTGCATTTGCATTGGGGCCAAAAATTGCTATTGAATGGATGTACTGATCTTGATCAGACATATCTTAGTAGCGCTTTCGTTGCTTTCAAAGCGGTGCAACAAAGCGCAGTTACAAAGACCACCGTGGCCATAAAATTCACAATGACCCTTAGCAAGCTCACTCTTAAAAACTTAGCGTGGATAGATTCTCGGCGGTTTAAACGGTCGATCCCTCCCGCCAAATCGCAGCTGGCCCGACTCCTTTTTCCCTCCCAAGCCGCCGCCAAGACGACGTGGTTTCCACGCTTTCATGACCCGGCAGCGTTCAAAGTCCACCAAGATCGTTGCTCCATCGATCACACGGCGGTGGGCGTGTCTATACGCTCGTTCGAAGTCCCTCTCGTGTTCAAATTCTACAAACGCATAACCCTTTGACTTGCTCGTCTTTTTGTCGCGTACAAGACGCAGACGTTTGATGGGTCCGTACGCACTAAAGAACTCACAGAGCGTCGTTTCTACCGTATCATAGTGCAGACGAGCTACAAACAGCGTCGCGTAGGGATCGCCCTGGATCTGGGGGTCTTTCTGCGCCTCGTAGCGAGCGTGCAGAGCTCGCACAAGTCCTTTATCGTGTGGTGTCGTATCTGTACCATCGATACTGCCCATTTGGATCGGGTCATACTCCTCCGCGAACCAGGAACGACGTAGAAATGCTTGACTACTGCGGTCATTCAGTTGCCTGGGACGCGTGTGTTGGGTACGGGTCATTTTACGAAATGCGGAGATGAACGCTTGTTATTGGTCAAAAATGAGATTCATTTCAATTGACCATGCGACGGTGGGGGCTCACCCTATTAGGAGGAATGAAGACGACGACGGCGGCGATGGCGCGCATAGCAGTGCTCACGGACGTTGAGGGAAACTGGCAGTATGTGCGTAATTTCGTAAAGCAATCGTCGTGTCTGCAGCTGTTTTATGAAGGTACAAAGGACGAGACATTGGAGCTACGTGACGACTGTATGCTGGTCTTCGGAGGCGACGCCGGAGATAAAGGAGACCATACACTCAGGTTGGACATAGAGATTGACTCTTTTTCCTATTTTTGGGTACAAATTGGCTCAAATCATACATCTGTGGGGTTTGGTTAAAGATGCTACGAGCAGCTCGTGAAGCTCAAGAAACAGTATCCAGATCGCGTCGTGCTACTTGCGGGCAATCGCGATGTGAACAAAATGAGGTTCACGTCGGAATTGCACGACACCGAGATGGATTTGCATTCGATGGCTCAACGTCGGTGTCTTGCTTATTCTGACATGGAGGTGACTGTTATAAGTGACTGAACGCGTGTGTTTGGCCATTCATTCTTTTTGCAGAGGTCCTTGACAGTCCGACGTGGGTACCCGAAAGTAAACGGATGACGTTGAAAAAGTATTTGGTAGAACAAATCACCAAAACAAACGGAGAGCTGATGCCGGATAAGGATATTGAAGCTGTGAATTCCAAGACAAATCGCTTGAAATGGATGCTAGAGCACACGATGGGATCAGGTGGAGATTTTGAACGTCGGCGGACTGAGCTGGTATTGCGACGAGAAGTTGACGATGTGAACAACGTGACGGACGACGACGTCGTAAAGTCGTATGTGGACAGTGTGAACGAAGGAGGCGTGTTACATGATTTTTTGCTACACGGCAATCTAGCATTTGTGGCCCATCAGACACTGTTTGTGCATGGCGGTGTCATCAACGGTGACGACGGTGCTGGCTTGTCTGCGCTGGGCCGAGTGCCTGACGAGCCATCGAAGCTTTTTGACTCGGTATTGGAATGGGTGGATAAACTAAATGCGTGGTATCGAGGCCAAATTCAGGAGTGGATTGACTATCCCCACTGGAATGCCGACCATTCGACTCGTGGCGGAAACGATTTGCTTAAGTACGTCGTGCCCAATTATGCTGGCAGTGTCGTTGTAGGCCGCCATCTTTCGGCATCGGGTATGCCGACTCCACTTCCGGACAAGATTGCGTCATTGCTGTCCGACAGCGGGATTCGACGCATTATCATTGGCCATACACCCCACGGCACCTGTCCAACGGTCGTTAAGCAGCCCCGAAGGCAAAATGATACTTGCCCAATAGATGCAAACGTATCACGTTGCCATGGTGTCGATGGAGTGTCTTTCGAGGATGTCATCATGTGTGATACAAGTTACAGTGATGTACAAGCCCGAGATAATCGCGGTAGCGCTGTATCGGAGGTTATAGTAGATCCTTCCGGTCGTGTGTCCGTCATTGGCGTTTTAGAAGACGGTCAGCGCATCGAGTACGATCCTGATGAGGATCCGTGGGCCGGTCGATGGCTCCGGGACGGAACCATGGTGAAGGCTCGTCTCGTCGACAGAGACGGAAGTAGTGGGGAGGAGTTGTATCTGGTATTCCGCGTGGAAAATGGCTACTCGTACACTTACAATCACCGCACGGTCACCCAGCTTCGCGCAATTGGACTAAAGGCCTGACCTTAATGGTTTACAAAAGTAAAATGACGCCAGGTTTTTGCATCATACGTGATTCTGTTGTCACATAATGTCCTAATGCAGCAATTGCACTGGACGAGGTGGTTCACGCAGGAGGGAGGAAGTTGTCTACCAGAAAGCTCTCTAATAAGACGCACGGACATTCTAGGGCATCTTCTTGCGCACAGAGCTCCTTTGATGAACTCTTGGCATTTCTGACCTCCTGTACAGTATACTGCATACCTAAAATGAACTCTTGTTCCGGGTTGTAATGTGAGCCTCTCTTGCAGTGAATTTTGACTGTTCATCAGCTGCACATATTGAGCGATTGATCAGTGCCGCAAACACATGTGAATTTGCAGGTCACGAGTCCCTCTTGTATTACAACCAAGCGACACGTGGCCACACCGAGAACTACGACCGGAGATGCTCCTTTTGACATTACTACGAGCAACGTTTCTCAGAGAGACGGATGGACGTTGATGGATAGAGCGACAAAGAGGTGCAACATCACGAGCTAAGGTTTGACAGAAACGCTTTCGAGGTCGCGCGCGCTTTCGTGGGATCGGTGGGTCGTCGTCTGCCGTGGACATTGTAGCTGCATCGTCCAGTAGGCCGTAGTGTTGTACTTTGCTTCCCATCACGGTCGCTGAATCATGTAGTACCCTCGTAGCATGAATGCGCTTTATGGTGATGATGATTTCATGACCGTCTATTAACATATGATTATGCTAAAGATGTCTGAAAACTTCTAAGCCAGGACAATAGCTCCGGAACTGGTAGCTTGTCGTGGCTGTCACCTAAAGGTATCGGCCCATCCCGAGGTTCGAGAATGAAGAGGTCGATAAAGGTATGCATGATAGCCCCGGCGACAGCTGTGGCGGGACCGCGATGTTCGCGTTTCGCTAATGCGGTAAGATGTCGAATTCCCAGCGCCCAAAAACGCGCGGCGCTGTGGAGAGGCGTCGACTGCACTCCTCGAAAAACCGCGTCGTTCCGCTCATTCCATAAGTGGGTCAGACAAATGCTGCTCATAATAAACCAGAGACGCTTCCAAACCGCGACACCAGCCTCTAAGTCCTCCGGGAGCATATGGTAAATCCGAAGAAGCTGCTTGGACGGTACCTCCGGCGCGTGACGATTCACACTCCCGACGAACCTACGCTCTCCCCACGGCCTCCCAGCCCGTTCACCTGTCCAATGGGTAATGAGTTGACCCCAGCACGCGCGCGCCTTGGGGCAGTCCCAAAAGATGTGAGCCGGCGTTTCTTTGCAACCATGACACGCCGATAACGCCCGGCAACTATTGTCCGCCGGACGGCCGGCATGGTACAAGTTGAGTTGCTTGGTGGCTATACGGTAACACGTCCAGACCTGATGGTCGGAAAGGCCATTGGCATGCTTCCAAACGTGTGCCGGGTCTTGGTTTGCGGCAGCCCGCTGCCACTGATCGAAGTCACAGACGGCGTCCAGACGCCGCACCAGCGGTCGCAATGCGACTGCAAGAAGTCTTTTGTGAAACGTGAACGCCAGGCGTGAAATAGCTTTTCGTATAGCTAAATTCGCGACCGACTCGGCGACGGCCCAAGGAAAGCCATGATGCCCGGGATGGGAGCAAAACACGACGCCGTGACGACGCAGGCGTAGGTCCCAAATGGATCTGTCCTCGTCCGAAGTAGTAGCTAACTCTGGTAGGTGAGAGGTGAAAAACCAGCGAATTCCATCCGCACTCTGCTGCAGTTCAACAGGCTGGTCAGCGACTTCCAAGTACCCCTCTCGCCTCCCGACCACTCGACCTTGTTGCACCGAGGCCCAGGTCCATTCATGTCGAAAAGGTGGTGCATGGCGAAGAACCAGCTCAGGTTCGAGCGCTAATTCGCCCCCAATGGGAAATGTAGGGGATGCCAGCAAGATTGCCGTCGCCCACCGACGGAGGTTAGGCTGCGAGTGGTGAATAGATCGGGGTCCAACCGGCTTAATGCGAAAAATAAATTCAGTTGGCCCTGTTCGCCGAATGTGCAGGTCCGAGATGGGGCAGATCGCGATCCGGTCGTAGGTAGCGGATTTTAACGGAAGGCCATTGCCGTCCTGGATCCACGGGTTATTACTCCAGCCTAGTGTCCCCCAAAAGCGATGTAGCGCACACTGTTGAGGATCGAGCGCAGGTAACCCAGCCGGGAAAGGGTGATGATACGACAGAACCCATTCCTCCTCCTCCCACCAGCTACTGGCGCCGTGGAGGACGGGGTGGTAGTACGGTCGTACCCGCTCGCTGAGTATGGTGGCTTGCTCTACCGTAGGGTGTAGAAGCTTGTCAACGTCCGGTACCCATGAATTTGGGGACGGTGCCCCGACACACGATGCAGCCCCAGCTGCCTGCGTCCTGCAATGGAGAACCAGGCTCGATTTTGTCGGCCGGCCTTGATAAGCCCACGCACTCCAGGCTCCAAAATACTTGTCCTGAGCTTGTGTGAGCCACTGTAAAGCGTGCTTGGTACGCTGCGTTTTAATAGCCACTTCCAAAGAGGCCAACCCAACCCCCCCTGCCTTTTTGGGGGTGAAAAGTAGTCCCGGGTTAATCTTGTGTCGGCTGGCTTCCGTTGAAGTCGCATGAGCCCATAAAAACTGTTTGTACAGGTTGTGGACAGCAAGTCGTGCCCACTCAGGCATATCGAACACCGCCGCCGTGAACAGAACAGACGGGAGAATGATGGAGTTGAGGATCAACACCCGATTCGCCACACTGGTCGCCACCCTAGAAGCTGTCATTAGCCTCCGTTGAAGCTTCCGGATGCGAAGCGCCCAGTTGCAATTGTGTAAGGGTCTCAGTCCGACTTGATAGCCCAGGTATCGCACCGTGTCCGCCTGTTGAAGGACCGGAATGCCCCGCATGTCGGCTACGTGCACAGCCCGATTAAGACAAATGATCTGACTCTTGGAGGGTTGGGCAACTAGCCCTGATAGGGTCCCAAATTGAGAGAGAAGAGCTATCGCTGGCTCCAGCTGACTGGCCTTCTCGAGAAAGATCGTCGAGTCATCCACAAACGCCGAGAAAACGTGCGTTGCCGGATGTCGTCCAGGGACAGGAAGCCCAGACAAATCTGGTGATTGCTGTACCGCAACGCCCAATATCTCCACCACGACGAGAAAAAGCAAAGGGGCGAGTGGACAGCCTTGCCGGATACCGGAAACGACGGAGATGGGACGAGACTGTTCCCCATTTACAAGGAACGCGGCCGTAGTACCAGTATGTAGTCGAGTAATAAGCTGAACATACCTTTCCGCGAAACCAAATTGGCGAAGAGCCTCATACAGGAATTCGCGATCGACCGTGTCATAAGCCTTGCGGAAATCCAGTAGGAGGATCACTCGGCTGTCGTCGGCGGATGTAGTTGTATCCGATGTTGCTGTCGCCAGTTGAGCGAGCATCATCAACACTAGTTTAGACATCTGACGTCCGTGTACGAAGCCTTGCTGCGAGTCACCAATGACTTTTGATAATACGCGTTGCAGTCGTGTGGCCAGCACTTTCGCAAAGATCTTGTAACTGGTTTGGAGTAGAGAAATCGGTCTGTAATCCATCGCATCCGCCGAGTCTCCCTTTTTACGCAAGGGTATGATCAAAGCTTCGAGAAACGAAGGCGGGGGATCAGCTCCAGCCAAAATTTGATTGCTGAGCTGGACCAGGGCGGGGACAAGAAGTGCAGACGTATCCTTGTAAAAATCGTTGTTGAGCCCGTCCAGTCCCGCAGACTTATGTCGACTGAGCCCAGAAACGGCTGCAAGGACTTCCGCTTCCGAAAAATCAGCCAAGAGAGCCCGGTTGTCGGCAGAAGACAAGACCCGGTCTGTGGGTAGATTGACAAAACGGCGAATGGCTGATGGCAAGTCCACTCTCTCCTCCTGGCAATGAACTTTGCCAAGGACTGTAGACCATTCGGAGGTAAATTTATCCGCGTTAGTCATATTCCGGGTAAAATGCGGGCCGTGGATGCGCAAAATTGTTGTGACTGTTTGATTGCGTTCCCAGTCGGCAACCCGCTTGTAAAAATAGCGCAACTGGTCAGCCGTCCTGGCGAGCTTCTTGCCCAGTCGCACCAGATGTTCCTGCCGTAATTCCTCCATATTGCAGGAGATAAATTGCGGCCGGGTGAGGAGAGGTCGCCGAGCTCTGCCCTGAATCTTCCGACGAAATCGCGCTCTGCGCTGTTTGACCCGCTTCCGGATGCGTCGAACGCACTGTTGACACTCTGTGACATCCGCGTCCCAAGTGAGGGTAGAAACGCTCTGACCTATAGCCCTTCCGTCCATTTTCGCGACGAGTTCGTCAACGATCCTGCCAGGGTTCGATGAATGAATCGGATATGTTACACGCCCATGCCGGCTTGACGGACGAGGTTTGTTCAGGTCACGTAGGTGTAGCACAACCTCCTGGTGGTCCGACTAATTTGATGGCACCCGCGCTTCAATCCACAGCACGCGACCTACCCACCCCTCAGGCACATAGAAACGATCGATGCGAATGGCACGGTCCCCATTCCAGTAAGTGAAATGGTCAGTAGGATCGCCAGTGCCCTCGTCATCCGCATGATCCCGAAGATCTCTCGCATCCGCCAAGCCCAGTGTCGCAACTGCCGCGTCCAGGGCAGGGCTTTCCGATCGGTGCGATCGGTAACTGCCGTACCGATCGAGGAGAGGGCACTGGACGCAGTTAAAGTCGCCCGCCAAAATAGTGTTGGAGACCATCAAATTCCAGCTGAGAAGGGTAGTAAAGAAGTCCTCCCGTTCACCTCGCAGTGTAGGTGCGTACACATTGATCAGAACATCCTCCCCAATGGAAATTGCGATCGCCCGGGGTGACCAGCGTTCCGATTCCCAGGCCGAAGCTGTACGAGCAGAATGAGGGGTAAGAAGAATGGCAACACCAGCTCGGCTGGAAGAGCCAATACTCCAGAACGATAGAGGAGGAGCGTCAGGATCAAGGTGTTGACCCCATAACTGAGCCCACCTGGAACTCAGCCTACCTGCCTCTTCGTCAGTATGTACATGCGTCTCCTGAATACACCAAGCCTGCGGGCGACGGATCTGAGGCGCACCCCGCCACGCCGACAACCACCCTTCCCGAGCGCTAGCCTTGAAGCCCCTCAAGTTTTGGGAAATAAAGAGCCTGTCCCCACCCCGAGAATCCAGTGGATTAACTGCTGAAGTCCAGGACGGAGACTAGTTTTGAAGTTTGCGATGCCGGCTGTAGGCGTCAGCTTCCTCAAAGAAAAGAACTTCGGGGCTGAAGACGGAATTCTGCCGTAATCTGCCCTTAGTACTCGAGGAAGAACCTCTGCTCTGCCGGGGCCAAAGCAGTAGTAAAATAGCGAACGAGCGCAGTCCAGTCGATCGGAGCATCCCCGTCTGGGTAGTACGTATCCTTGTAGGTACTATTGGTCCGAAGTAAGCGAAAGTGGCAACGGAGTTGCTCGGGAGGGCTTACTGGCTTTCCGCCAGTCCCCGTCAGCGCAAAAATCTCGTTGTCGAACACGATGGCACACATGAGGTGGTGACTCAGTCGGACGCGTCTGTGTGGGTCACACAATCGTAAAATGTCGTCCCCCGCATAGTTAATCCCTCGCAACTTTCTCCAATCGTCGGAATTATCAATCAGAGGGGCCAGCAGAGACGGCAAAAGGCGCTGCTGCGATCGAGCAATCCATTGGTCTAGCCAAACACCCGTGGGTAGCTCTGTCACTCGCTGTCGGAATTCTAGGAGCCCGGATAATAAGCACTCCTGGCGCCACAGCGCCGTCCACTGTACAAAAACTGTGTCGGACAAGCTAGCAAGTACTTCGTCTGGAAAGACGAAGCGGCGCAAGTGATGGAGTAACAATTCCGGCTCCAAACGAGCCGTAGCCTCCCACCCGTTGGAGTCTCCATATACTAGAGGATACGGTGTTGCTGCTGTTGTCGGCCATTCGGCTCCCAGATAACTCCAGAGCTCCGGCCATTCGTCCCGATCGATTCTGTCGTCCGGCGCGTCTAGTGAAGAATTCCGTAAGGGCTGCACGAACCCGACCTTTCTTGTGGCGAGAGCCGATCGGAACGACGGCACCTGGATCCGCAGACGCCGCCAGGAGCGGGGGAGAGCCGCCGTGGCCCCTTTTCCGCGTCGCAGAGGCCATCCCGCGTTCGCAACAGCTGCTCGAAGTAGAAGTTAAATCCAATTGACAAGAGGGTTGTGCCGAGGTTCGAGCGACCACGTCTCCAGCGTCGTAAATGACGATCGACGTCCGGTCACCGCTGTCTGGAAGGAGTTTGTCGTCTGAGGGCAGTGCTGAAGCGCTTTTCTCCTCCAATGGTACCAACGATGTGGCTTTAGCGTCCTCGAAGGAGTGGACCGGATCCTGCGGCGACGCACTCGGCCCGTCCTGGGTATCGGTAAGGTTTAACGGATCGGCCACTCCCGCTGAATGGAGCAATGCCGAGTAGTGGCTGCCGCCAAACCGCAACACTAACGGTAGAGCCTGGGTCGCCCCGACTTTGGTAGCCTGCAGCTCGTCGATGTACGCCATAATAGAAAGGGGGTACTCTTTTACAGAAGCCACCGCCCGTCCCCGTACAGTCATCGAAACGGGGTGATACTTGCGGCAACGCCACTGAGGGGTGGCTTCCTCGCGTTGAACGACAAAGATGTCTCTCTGTAAAAACGTGGCTGCCATGCCGAGTGTGTCACTGCCCCCCCCAACAGTCCGTAGGCACATGCGAAGTTCGCCCCGATGGGGTGGCCGCAAAGTCCGTCAAAAACCAGCGGAATTGAGAAGCCGACTCTGTGCGCGTCATCGACGCCCACCCACGGCCCACGTTCTTAAGTGCCTGCATCCGCAAGTCGTGAGGGAGCTGATCCTCCAAGTTCAAGAGTCCTGTACACGTGATACCTCGTTTAATGCAAGCCGTGAGAAGCTCCTGGTCCTTGGCAGGGGCGGTCAAGGCAGACTCAGCCACCGCTTGAGCAAGAGCTATCGCCAAACAATTGCCGTTCGCTGGGGTGTTAATTTCCCGAAGTCCAAGAATACTCACAAGCTCGCCCATGTGGATGGGTTCCGCTGGCGGCTTAGGATCCATGGGTATCGAGTGACATTGCCGATCCGGCAGCAGCTTTAAAAGCTTTTCGCAAGTCAGACGTTCCCGTCGCTGCTGGGTCAGGAGAGCCGGACCCGCGGTAACTACCGCCGGGCCCCGGATACCGGATGCTTGTTTCCGGGCCTGATCCTCCGGCAGAAGCCGAGAGTGGGACAGCCGTGCCGAAAAAGCAGGAGTCGAGGAGCCTCCCGTCCCAGGCTGCGGAGGTGCAGAGGCGACACTGCCTTCAAATGGGGAAGACGGACCCTCCTCTGCCCTATCATCCTCCTGGAGAACGAGATAACTCCCGTTGCTGTCGTTCAGCTGAGGCGGGGAAGGCTGAACTGGGGGCCAAGGCCGACGACCCCCTCAAAAAGGGGGCGTCTCATCCATGGCTGTTCGGGCCGGGGTTTTGGGGCCGGAAGAGGCGGGCCCTCGTGCGCGACGTGAGTAGTATACACCGATTGGATAGGTATACCTGTTGGCTGGGGCTCGGCGGCCGGCGGTGGACTGGAAGTGGCGACCGGTACCGCCGGAGTCACCGCAGCTTGTGCCGCTGCATCGGCTGATTGCTGCACAATCAGTCGTCGCTGCGCCATTTGCCGCATTTCATCAGGGCTACTAAACGGTTTGGCCAGATCTTCAACAGCTAAAAGCTCGGCTTCGTGGACCTCCAGCCCGCCCGGCCCCCGCAACTGCGCATCAGTGAGCAACCTTCATCAAGAGGCCTACAAATTCTCTTGACGTTGCTGGATCAGTAGGGTGCTCCGCACCTACTGATCCTGTCCGTTTTTTGACGGTCCATCCCGTTGTTGCGTCTTTGCACCAACTGCGGACCCTCGTCCCTGCCCCTTTCTCATGGGTGGACGGTCACTACGCCCAGTGTCGCGAGACACTGGACGAGGGGCACTACACTCGTAAGCGTAGTGTCCTGTCTTTTGACATCTGTTGCATCTCTGCAACTTCTTGTAGCCTGTAGAGCGAGCCTTCTCGCTCTCTACATAACAGAGTTCCATCGGCTCTGGACCTCCGTTGTCATATCGTCTCGGTTGACGATATGATGTCGAGCTGGCGCGAGCCTGTCTCAGACTGAAGTCTTCCTGCTCCGCAATGGAAATGGCTTGTTCTAGTGAATCTAGTTCAAGCCGGAACAGGTGAGTCTTGACGGGACCATCCGCAAGACCCTGCATGAACACCGAAACCAACGTGTGTTCATCCACCGGATTGAAACTTATACAACTCGTGAGATGTCGTATATGTTGAGCGTAAGCGTGCACATCACGCTTACCCTGCTTGAGCTTCAAGAGTTCGGTTCGAGCTCTGAACTCAGCTCTAGGCGGTTCAAACGTTTGTCTGAGCCGCGACTTGAAGACTTCCAACGACCCAAACGCATATGGGTCGTGCAGCTTGAGCCCCAGTGCCCAAGTCTTGGCACGTCCTGCCAGATTTGACTGGGCAAATGCAACTTGCATATCCCCGTCGTCGATGCGACGCGCCCTTATGGCGTCATCCAATTCGACGAACCATCTCAAGAGGGAGTCTTCTTCGACCCCCTATACTTTGAGATGTCAATCTTCAAAGTCTCGGGCCGACGCGAGTGCATCGACCCGCCAGCAGCAGCCTGCTGCTGTCTCAACAGTTCAAACTGTTGAGCACCTTGTTCTCTCAACAACTCTGCTTGTTGAGAACCTTGTTGGTGAAGCAAGGCTACTTTCTCGCGTTCTGCGTCAAGTTCATTTTGAATGAACTTGGCGATAGTAGCATGTTGGGCATCTCTATTGAGAGCCTCTAGCATGACGCTAACAGCATGGATGCCCATGGTCGAACCCATTCGTTCAACCGCATCCCATTCGACATCGCTCAAATGGGAGTAGCCGTCACGCGTAGCGTGAAAGCTTTGGTCATCTTCATCATCCAACATATTCATGTTGGATGTGAACGCGGTCCTTGGACGGACTACGAAGTGCTACCAGGTGTAACGGGGCACCCTGAAGCTTGTACTGGTGACAGTACAAGCTACTTATTCTGATAACAGAATAAGGCGGTGCCTCGTAACTTCACGTACACTCGTACGTGCAGAGGAAGACGGTAAGAAGAAGCGAGTACTTGGTTAGAGTAAAAAGTAGAACTGTATTTATAATAGTTAATGTCTGCAATAAATCACTATTTATCTTCATCTAACTATGTCTAAATACAAATGTGTAAATCAGTTATCTGCTCACCACTCATTGCGTGCGTCTGTCGTGGCGCGTCTTCGTTGGTTGATATAATGGCCTATATCAACCAATTAGGAACTACTTGGAAGTGCTACAGAATATTGTCCTTATGACAATATTCTGAGAATATAACTCTTATAGTTATATTCTATTAACAATTTCTTATAAATTGTTATGTAACGATTCACCCCGTTACACGACGGCCCACGTCCGGATGCCGGACGATAATGGAGGTCCCAAACCAAAGCAGTCTGACTACTCCTTGGAGAAAGGTCGGGCAACCCGCCAGATGAAAGGTGACTTTCCAGGCAGTGGACGTACGTGAGTTCGGGGTGCAGGTATCCATATCCTCCAGCTCAAAATCCGTTGGTATCTTGGAGCGGAGGTAGGCAGCAATGCGCCCAATATCATCAAACCGGGTGAGATTATACAGCAAAATGGTGTATGCTGCCCGAGGGTGGCTCGACCGCCCGTCTGGTCCCCGCTGATTCAACCAGACCGAGCCCCTGACCGGGTGATGAACATTCTCGAGCGTGTACGCCCTCCCCTGAAAAGGCACTACGACATCCTGGTGCGCCTTGGCAATGGCTCGCGTAAAGAAATAGAAGTGGATTGAACGGGTAGAACGATTGTAGCTTATCGTCTTGGCCAACCCGAGGAAACGGTGAAGATCCGGCAAGCAGACCCGCAAGATTTCCGCCGATTCCAAAATCTTCTCCGTAATAGCGTGTGTCGTCCGGCGTCCAATTGGGATATCACGACCATGTCTAAGTTTTAATACCAACTGTCCCTCGACCTGCGCCTGAACAGTCCGACACAACCAAAGCCGCTCGTCGCTGTCGAAGACAGAATTGAGAAAATCAGTCAGCCGACGACAGGCAATAAGCCCTTCCGCAATCCCAATGATGATGCGCCATTCATCATCTGTACCCTCGCGCAGACGGTGAGTACCTGTCAAGTTAAGGCGCGTTGCGCAAATGGCTCGGAGCGTGGTCGTCTCTTCCTCCGAAAAATGTGCCGGATCGAACATAAAGTCATCGAACACGGTACGCTGCTTGCCTGTCGTACTGGCAGGTGCAGCAGCACTGCCTGTCTGCACGACTTGAGACCACAGCCGCGGGATTGGAGCCACAGCCCATTTCTGTCGGCTGGCCAGCTTGCGCAAGATTTCTTTGAACGCCCACTTCGTGACGAGGATCTCCTTACTGATCTGGTGGGCTAAACGGGTCCAGTCGACGTAGCGGCCGGATGTCACAACAAAACACTGCTTAAACAAATCCAGCAAATTCACCAGCTCGGTACTTGTGAGCTTGGGATACCGTTTGCGTTCGGCCGGCAACGCGTCGAAGCTGACTGGAAGGCGGGCAAATTCCAGCGCAAATAACTCCTGGATGGTCTGGCGCCAGACATCTAGGTACGGGGGCCCCGAAGAAGCCTTCATCGCCGCGGTAAGGGCCTCAAACATGTCGCGCGGATGAACCGGGGGCGTGAAAGCCTGCGAAGGCGACGAGTGTAACGGGGCACCCTGAAGCTTGTACTGGTGACAGTACAAGCTACTTATTCTGATAACAGAATAAGGCGGTGCCTCGTAACTTCACGTACACTCGTACGTGCAGAGGAAGACGGTAAGAAGAAGCGAGTACTCGGTTAGAGTAAAAAGTAGAACTGTATTTATAATAGTTAATGTCTGCAATAAATCACTATTTATCTTCATCTAACTATGTCTAAATACAAATGTGTAAATCAGTTATCTGCTCACCACTCATTGCGTGCGTCTGTCGTGGCGCGTCTTCGTTGGTTGATATAATGGCCTATATCAACCAATTAGGAACTACTTGGAAGTGCTACAGAATATTGTCCTTATGACAATATTCTGAGAATATAACTCTTATAGTTATATTCTATTAACAATTTCTTATAAATTGTTATGTAACGATTCACCCCGTTACATCACCCCCCTTAACCATCAGTCACTTTAGTGACTGATTGACTAAATGGATACTCGTCCCAAATCATTTGGGACGGGGTTTGCACTTGTTGGTCCGCGTCCACTTTCCAACATCTCATCGCATGGTAAACAAGCCCATGCGATGCGCGAGCAAGGCCGCCGAGAGCGCGTCTGCACGTCTCTGTGCGGACGCCGAAGCAGAAACTACAGCAACTGATGTCCCATCGGTTGCTGAATCGACTCAGCCTGTATCACCTGGTGATGCAGGCGCTGGTCATGAAGACACTCGTGTCTTCACAGAGTACGAGCTCGGTGTCTCGTACTCTCCTGATACGGATGACGGATCCGTATCGACGGCAATTGAATCCAAGCCGCCTGCCAAGCGTGGCATGGACGATGCTTTGCGTCGCAGCATCTTTGGTTCATCTGATGAGTCAGATGAACCATCGCCGAAGCGAAGGCGCTCGAGGTCGCGAGACTCGGGCGCTAATAGTGGTGTCGTTTCTCCAATGGACACCACTTCACAGCGAGGTGCCAGTACTTCTGTCGGCACGTCGCAGGAAGAGCGGGACCGCAATGTGTTGCGTCTCGCTCCAGAAAAGAAGGCATGGATGCCTCCTAAATCTGTCATGGATCACTTGTCGGCGACGACGAGTGATCGTTATCGAACACGATTGTTCGATTCGTCAAGGATTCATCACCTTGACCCCAGCGCGAAAGACTATCGCGCTGAACATGAGTTCTTCATCGATGCTTTCTTCAGACATCGATGGTACAGTGGGAATCACAAACGTGATGGTCCCTCACTACTTCAGGCGTGGAACGCCTACATCCATAATCTCGAGGATGTAGGTCGTGACGCTTGGAACGACAAACTTATCAAAGCTCGTGATAAGTTTGAAAAGCGAACCCCGACAGGTGCACGCTATAAGCTGCATCGTCTGTCAAGGGAGAAAGGATTACCCTGCCTCTCTTGGGGAGACTCGTGCCCATGTTGTGTGAACAACTCTGCACGAGCACCTAAGGAGGCTTACCTCCTTACCAGCCCGTGGTGGCGCGTACGTGTCTCTACTGAGATGTACGAAGGGATTGACAACCTGAAATCCCTTTACGACCGTGCCGGGAAGACTTTCTCCGGCGGTCCTTCTGCGGCACAGGATGTGTCGCGTCGTACTGCTCGACCAGACCCAGTACGTCAACCATCAATTGGGAGCGGGGCTCCCAAGAATCCCAGGACGGGGGATAGCCGCGCCACCGGACGAGGTAACTCGTCCGACGTCCGTTCACGTCGCGGTGGTTCAACAGCTGCTCTACTAGATAGCGCTGGCCACCGCGAGAGTCCTCTAATGGAGGTGGAGGAGGAGGAAAGACGCTCTCCACACGATCATGTGGATCGGTGTGTTCCCGAGAGCTTCTTTGATCGCGTAACGCAAGGGTTACGCGACGATCTCGAGCATGAGCGGAATAGGCGTCTCCAGATGTTGGACACTGCCTCGAAGCATCGAGCTGAGTTTGCCTTTGCTCAGCTTGAGAACGAGAGATCTCTGACATCTCTTCGTGACGAGCTAAGGGTAGCTCGTGGGATTGTTGATCGGTCTCGGGCTGAGATAACTGCTCTTCAGACCCTTGTTGATGCCCACCATCGGGAGCACAAGGCTCTCTGCGAGATGCTTGAGCGCAAGGGCGTTCTTCATCGGAAGAAGCAGCGTACTGATGGTACGGCTTAAGCCGACCAACGTAAAACGTGGGATGCGTTCGCATCTTACGTGGTAACTCGATCGTGTATGCATTGCCTAGGCGGTGCAATACACGAAATGGGCCAATGTACTTGGGTAGTAGTTTACTGCTACCCAAGTTAGTCACTACATGTTTTGGTAGATTAACCGTAGACAGTAGGACTAAGTCACCTTTATTAAATAAAAGAGTGTTTGCCCTTCCATTCTTGTCAGCGTTTTGCTTTTGCTTATCCACCGCTTCGGCGATGGAGTCTTGCACAAAACGGACTACCGTTTCACGAGCCAGTATGAACTCATCTGATGACTCGTTAGCTTCAGTGTGCTGTGAGCGCACTGCAGCAACAACAACCTTTTCTTCAGTGAGGGCTTCCGCACTCTCACTGGCATCATTGTCTTCAGTGAGGGCTTCCGCACTCTCACTGGCATCATCTTCTTCGATATCGATGTTATCGATATCGGCATCAAACGCAATGACTTCTTCGTCAGAGCGTGATGAGCGTGAACCAAATCGGTTTTTGCTCGCGCGAGTCCCTCCCCCCCTTAAACCAGAGTTACACTCTAGTAAGGTGGGTACACGCGGATGGCGCAAGCCATTCACGTAAAACGGTGTATGTCTCGTGGACGCATGCACCGAGTTGTTAATGGCAAACTCTACCATCGGCAAAAACTCACTCCAACTCTTAAAGGAGTGTACGTATCCTCGAAGTATCTCTTCAAGGACACGATTGGCACGTTCCGTCTGACCATCTGACTCTGGATGATCAGATGTTGACATCTTCAAGCGCGTTCCGAGTGATTTGAACACGGAACGCCAGAAATCAGCAGTGAATCGTGGATCTCTGTCTGATACGAGTTCACGGGGCAACCCATGAAGTCGGAAGATGGTGTCAATAAAGACACAAGCACAGCCACTTGCCGTGATTGTCTCTGGTACAGCCACAAGGTGTACCATTTTGCTGAATCTGTCAACAAATACGAGAATACCCGTATTCCCGCGTGCGTCTTTGGGTAACCCGAAGACGAAATCCATTGAGATGGATTCCCAGCACTCAGCCGGAACCGGTAGAGGCTGTAAAGGTGCACGCAGTGAAGGACTTGACTTCACTCGTTGGCAGACTTCGCATGCGCGAACATACTTTCGCACAAACTGATACTGGCGGGGCCAGTAAAAGTCTCGACTTACCGTGAGATATGTTTTCTCTCGGCCACGATGTCCTCCTATAGGAGCATCGTGATACTCGAACATGATCCGCAAACGCAGATCAATATCATCTGGAATGACAACACGTGGTGTGTCACCAGAAACGGCTGTATAGTACAGTAAACCGTTACGAGTAGTGTATCGATCTGATGCAGATCGATACGCAGACGACAATCGTTTCAACGATTCTCGAGATGGTTGGGAGAGATGTGACAACAACTTCACTATCTCACCATCTTGGGCGTATGCCCGCCTCACATCATCATACAACGTTGTAGATGGAACTGAGGACGTCATAACCGCAACAGTGACTGTCTCACTGTTGGGTTTCGCGACTGTTTCAAAGTCGGGACGACGTGAGAGTGCATCAGCGACGACATTAAGTCGTCCTGGTTTGTACTCGACCGTAAAGTTGTATTCTGCAAAGAATGACAACCACCGCGCCATTCGTTGTGAAAGGTGCGGGCTGTTCACTGCCGTGCGTAAGGACGCATGGTCAGTGTAAACAACGAAGGGTCTATCTCCTAATAGATAGACTCTGAACTTCGCGAGTGCATACTTCATGGCAAGGAGTTCCTTGTCATGCACTGGATAGTTCCGCTCAGCTGGTTGCAGCTGACGCGACTGATAGCAGACGACGCGTTCAACGCCTTCAAGGTCGTACTGCATTAATGCACAGCCGATTGCGAAATCGCTGGCATCACAGACCACATGAAATGGCCTGTCCTGATCGGCTATTGCTAGGACTGGGGATTGTATCAAGCTCTGCTTGATACCCTCAAAGGAGCGTTGACATTCAGCGTTCCATAACCACCTCTCGTTCTTTTTCAACAAACGAGAGAGGTGTACAGTCATCTCGGCGTAATTGCGTGAATACTTATGCAAATACGCCGCTAGCCTAAGGAATTTTCGAAGACCTTTGACATCGACCGGCACAGGCCAGTCGGTGATCGCCTTGATCTTTTCGGGATCAGGACGTACACCGTTCTTACCAACGATGCACCCAAGAAGTGGTATTTCGCTTGCTGCAAATATACACTTCTTGAGGTTAGCATACAATTGATGCTTTCGCATGATTGTAAGAACTTGTCGGACGTGGTACCTGTGAACCTCAACGTCCGACTTTCCATCCATAGCTCGACTATGGATGAATACGTCATCGAAATAACTCGGCGCGAACTCTCGTACTGGTCTCAACAGATGTGATACACATCTGTTGAACGTGGCAGGGGCATTACTGAGCCCTTGTGGCATTACTAGCCATTCCCAGAGCATGCCGCTAGGCGTGCTAACTGCGGTATAGGGTATATCCCGTTCCCGCATTAGGATTTGATAGAAGCCATCCATCAAATCCATGGACGAAAAGATGGTACTCTTTGACATACCATCAATGATTACGTCCTTCCTCGGTATCGGCGTCTGAGCCGGTACCGTTGCAGCGTTCAATTTGTTGAACGCGTGCACTATCCGCCACCCTCCTGTTGCTTTTCGCACACAGAAGGTCGGAGAGCTATGTGGGGAAGTTGATTCCCTCACATGGCCCGCTGCTAAACGATCGGCAAAGAACTTGTCGATCGCAAGTACTGTTCACGAGGCAGTGGTCACTGCTTCATGACACAGTACTTCGAGCCTGGTTTAAGCTCGACTTCGTGTCGAATACCTTTATCCTTCGGTAATTCGCACGGAACAGTTTCAGGGAATACATCCTTGAATTCAACCAAATCCTCATAGAGAGGGTTTTCCTTGAGCGATTCCCATGATTGGGACTCATATCGCTCAATTCGTGTCTTTTCATCTAGGACACTCTCGTCCATAGATGAACTACTGAGAACTCTCTCGTTCTCAGTAAACACTGTTGCTGACCTTATGTCGGTTACACACTCGTCGTCAGCGACGAGTATGCAGATCTGCTTGACTTTGCCACTACGCAGATCACGCAAGAACCTTTTATGTTCGAGCGTTGGCAACTGAGTGATCTCCGAAGTTAACTTCGGAGGCGCAATCAGATCAAGTGTATAAGCGCCTACACATGATCCGTTATTGACTATGACATTCAATGTCTCTGTCATTTCCTGGGGACTTATTCCCTCAGGCTTCGAAGGACTTATTCCTTCGTCTTCCCGGGGACTTATTCCCGCGGGTTTCGGGGAACTTATTTCCGCCGTATTTGTAATCTTGGGACTTATTCCCTTTACTTCCTCTAGCTGGGGTTGCGCAACCACAGCGAGATCCTCTACGAAAGACTCTCCAGTCGATCTAGGATTATCGTTTCGCTTAACCTGAGCGATCGATTGTTTCTCTTCTAGATGTTCCCCTCTAGGGATACATCTTTGTCCCAGTCCACCCGACTTATTCGAGTGGTGGACCTTCGGCGCAGCCTGTGTTTCCTCACAGCCGCCGGAACTTGGCTCCGAAGTGTAACCGTTTGGTACACTAAGGTTTTGTGCAGTCGTACTAACGACCGTACCACAAGTGAGGCCATCGCACTCACTCGTAGTACATCCACACGCTTGTGGACGCTCCAAAACGTTCATCAGATGGCCATCTGATGAACAAGCGGCAGGCATCGTTACTGTCCGATGTTGCCAGTTTACCCGTGGTTCGTACCTTCTGAGCCACGGTATTCCAAGGATGACATCAAATTTGTCATCCAAATCCAATACGATAAAGTCATCGTCGTATTGGGTATCTTCTAGCGTATAGCGAATCTTCACTATACGCTTCATGACGATTACGGATGCGCCTGTCGCAAGACGTACCGTCATCCTCGTAGGAGGTGTGTCACATTCACTGAATTTAAAGTGACCATCTTCTAGCGATTGGCGTCGCACAAAATTGTTGGACGCCCCACAATCGACTAGAGCTCGAAGGGACAACTTATTCGTCACTTCGAGTTTCAAGAGTAATGAGTGAGATCTCATTACCTAGAGCAGCAACGCACAATGTCTGTGTGTTGGGAGCAACCTTCATCAAGAGGCCTACAAATTCTCTTGACGTTGCTGGATCAGTAGGGTGCTCCGCACCTACTGATCCTGTCCGTTTTGACGGTCCATCCCGTTGTTGCGTCTTTGCACCAACTGCGGACCCTCGTCCCTGCCCCTTTCTCATGGGTGGACGGTCACTACGCCCAGTGTCGCGAGACACTGGACGAGGAGCACTACACTCGTAAGCGTAGTGTCCTGTCTTCTGACATCTGTTGCATCTCTGCAACTTCTTGTAGCCTGTAGAGCGAGCCTTCTCGCTCTCTACATAACAGAGTTCCATCGGCTCTGGACCTCCGTTGTCATATCGTCTCGGTTGACGATATGATGTCGAGCTGGCGCGAGCCTGTCTCAGACTGAAGTCTTCCTGCTCCGCAATGGAAATGGCTTGTTCTAGTGAATCTAGTTCAAGCCGGAACAGGTGAGTCTTGACGGGACCATCCGCAAGACCCTGCATGAACACCGAAACCAACGTGTGTTCATCCACCGGATTGGAACTTATACAACTCGTGAGATGTCGTATATGTTGAGCGTAAGCGTGCACATCACGCTTACCCTGCTTGAGCTTCAAGAGTTCGGTTCGAGCTCTGAACTCAGCTCTAGGCGGTTCAAACGTTTGTCTGAGCCGCGACTTGAAGAACTTCCAACGACCCAAACGCATATGGGTCGTGCAGCTTGAGCCCCAGTGCCCAGAGTCTTGGCACGTCCTGCCAGATTTGACTGGGCAAATGCAACTTGCATATCCCCGTCGTCGATGCGACGCGCCCTTATGGCGTCATCCAATTCGACGAACCATCTCAAGAGGGAGTCTTCTTCGACCCCCTATACTTTGAGATGTCAATCTTCAAAGTCTCGGGTCGACGCGAGTGCATCGACCCGCCAGCAGCAGCCTGCTGCTGTCTCAACAGTTCAAACTGTTGAGCACCTTGTTCTCTCAACAACTCTGCTTGTTGAGAACCTTGTTGGTGAAGCAAGGCTACTTTCTCGCGTTCTGCGTCAAGTTCATTTGAATGAACTTGGCGATAGTAGCATGTTGGGCATCTCTATTGAGAGCCTCTAGCATGACGCTAACAGCATGGATGCCCATGGTCGAACCCATTCGTTCAACCGCATCCCATTCGACATCGCTCAAATGGGAGTAGCCGTCACGCGTAGCGTGAAAGCTTTGGTCATCTTCATCATCCAACATATTCATGTTGGATGTGAACGCGGTCCTTGGACGGACTACGAAGTGCTACCAGGTGTAACGGGGCACCCTGAAGCTTGTACTGGTGACAGTACAAGCTACTTATTCTGATAACAGAATAAGGCGGTGCCTCGTAACTTCACGTACACTCGTACGTGCAGAGAGGAAGACGGTAAGAAGAAGCGAGTACTCGGTTAGAGTAAAAAGTAGAACTGTATTTATAATAGTTAATGTCTGCAATAAATCACTATTTATCTTCATCTAACTATGTCTAAATACAAATGTGTAAATCAGTTATCTGCTCACCACTCATTGCGTGCGTCTGTCGTGGCGCGTCTTCGTTGGTTGATATAATGGCCTATATCAACCAATTAGGAACTACTTGGAAGTGCTACAGAATATTGTCCTTATGACAATATTCTGAGAATATAACTCTTATAGTTATATTCTATTAACAATTTCTTATAAATTGTTATGTAACGATTCACCCCGTTACAACGAGGAGGACTCGGAATCCTCCCCCGAAGCGCGCCCGGTGGGTCCGTCCAGCCGCCGCGTTACTGCATCCGTCTTGCCGCTACGCAGCGGCTGGTCTGCCATGGTGAAGGAAGCATCCCCCGCCAAGCCTGACTCCATAGCCGCTGAGGAGGTCGGCAGCTGAGAGTCCGCGAGAGGAGAAGATGCGGCGTGCACTGGAACCCCTGTCCCGTGAGCAGAAGATGCGGCGTGTACTGGAGCCCCTGTCCCGTGAGCAGCAGATGCGGCGTGTTCTTGCGCCCCTGCCCCGTTTACAGAGGATGTGGGGCTACCAGCGGAGGGAGAAGGAGCCTTCTCCGGAGGCCCCGCGTCCTCCGGTAAGTCGAGGGCCGGGCTAGAGTTTCCCGGGTCGTCCGGCTGGCCCCTTGGCAAAGCCGCGTCCCCCCCCTGTCGGGAGGGGGGCATGGTGGCGGCTCCAGAGCCGTCGTTCGAGAAGAGCTGGCTAACGCCAGTTCGTGTCCTGTTTATACTCTTCCACCCAGCACTGCAGATTGAAGAGTGAATGCGCTTTATGGGCCGGGGAAGGGGAAGAGTCTTTTTTGTATCAAAGAAGCGCGATCGTCTCTAGCTGACGCTTCTGTCGTGTCGACGCTGGATCGACTCAGGACGTAGCTCCTCGCGTTCTTGTGCAATAGTTTTCCTACCAACTCGATTACTCTCCATTCTTTGGGCTGGACACTGACTGTTAAATTGCTTCGCAAACATCGCCTGGCCGCTTTATTGCCCCTCAATAGCTGAAGCCAAGCGTAGAGCGGAAAAGTCGGAGTAGGGTAGGACTTTGCTCGGGTATAAGCCGTGCAAGGACCCAAAAATCCAGGGTCATTGCACAACCGACGAAAATGTGCCGCTTTTTTGCTAGCTAGTCCAGGTGCACCGGGAAGGCTTAGTTCAGGGCGAACCCTGACGTACTTAGAGCAGCTCTTTGCATGACATGGTTACGATGCTGCCACCTCGACAACGTCCTTGTTATGGATGAAGACGATCGACGTATCGGGTAGCAATGCTGGAGCAATCGGACGTAACATGCTGCGACGGGAAGTGGTACCTGCGAGACCCTGCGAAAACTGGCTTCGGGCTGAACACATTCGAGTTACGACACACTCGAACTCTGCTGGTTCTTCATTCCCAATTGACAAGCATCAAGTACAGAGATCACAAGTCCGCTCTTGTACATTCCGAGTGCCTTTCAGTATTGCAAACAAGAGGTTGGTCTCAATACTAGGACGTAAACAAGGTTGAAAAACATTCGGATTCACGTGCCTTGATCACCAACCCAACGACCGTACAATGACCGTGATCAAGGAATCCATTGCAGCTGTCTCTAGCCCATCATCGTGCTGAGCTCTTTAAATATACGGTGAGATTGGCGAATCATGTGCTTGTAGCATGCCCAACCTTTCCATCGGATAGTACTGGTATCAGCAATTGCGTCGTAGCCTTGACAGGTCCTGCGAGTGAGGACGACAGAGGAGTCCGATGTAGAGCAAGGTCATTGTGCCATTTGACTCGAACGAACACAACGGCTTGTGCCCCACCTCGCCCACCTCCTCCATCCTCAAAATGTTTGGTGGGACAGCTTACTTGTGGGCGTGTGCAGTTATTGCGCTCTCCTCTTCTGGCAGGATAATCGATGCCCAGATAGCATACGATGCAATTGTCGTTGGCAGTGGACCTGGTGGTCTCGTTGCCGCGGAGTATCTGTCGCGTGACCCGAGCGTCACCGTTCTGATCGTGGAGGCCGGTCCAAAGTCTCTCGCGGCTACAGGAGGTACTGGTGCGATTCCGGAATACGCTAAGGGTCGTGGCATCACGGCTTTCGACATTCCAGGCGAGTACGAAAACGGCATTTACACCCCCACTATGTCGCCGTTTCGCGTCGACTGGCTCAACAACGACAACATCTGGCTCGGTAAACTCGTCGGTGGCTGCTCCTCAATCAATGCTGCCTTGTACTTTCGTCCTCCAAATGACTACGTCACAAAGACGCAGTGGCCGTTTTCGGTGGACTCGATGAACGCCAAGATGGATGAAAACGAACTATCGCATGGCGTGACGGAGAATCCATCCACAGATGGCATATGGTACCTTCAAGAAGGCTACAACATTGTGGCCACGGCGTTCCGAGCTCAAGGTTATTCGGAGAAAACGCTCAACGATGCTGCAGCTCGCAACAGTAAAGACAAAACGTTTGGTCATGCTCCGTTCGCCTTCAAGAACGGCCGTCGTGATTCCCCTGCTGCCACGTTTTGGGGTAAGATGAGCACGCGTAAAAACGTAAAGCTCGTAACGGATACCAAGGTCGACTACATCCTGCACACAGCCGGTAAAGCAACTGGTGTCGTGTACGGCGGTACCAGGGCCCAACTTTCACAGCGTGGTACCGTCATCATGGCAGCTGGTGCTCTGAGCACGCCAATGGTGCTGATTCAAAGTGGAATTGGACCTGCTGACCAGCTGAACATCCTGAAAGGGAAGAGCAACTTCCCTGGTGTCGGCCAAGGTGATTTGATCAGGAACCCTTACGTTGGTCGCAATCTGTTTGACACAAACGGTGTCTTTGCTTCATTTTCGCACCCGGACATGAAATCGTTCCACTTCAAGAGGTACCCATCGGAAGCCATCGACCAGTACATGAACCGAAACAGCTCAGGTCCTTGGAGTACTTCGGGGCCGGTTCTGATTGCGTACGAGAACTTTGACGTTCAGGGTCGCATGTACGAATTCCAGACAACGATTCTACCGCACGGGTTTGGTCAGTTCGGCGGGGGCAACGATGCCTTCACGGCCTCACTATATACGAACAACCCCGAGACTCGTACAAGCTGTGGATTCGACACTAACGGTCTATGGCAGCCATATATGGAAGGGAGCACATACTTCGGAACGGACCGCGATTTGGTTGCCATGCAGCAATACGCCTATCGGGTTGTGAGTGCCATGACAGCTCAAGGTGCCACGTTTCTTTCGGGTGGATCGAGTCCCGAAGGGGTCGCCGCGTGGGTGGCTGCCAACACTGGATACATCCTGCACCACTTTGGCGGTAGCTGCTACGCTTCGAGCGATTCGTCAGCGTCATCGAAGCGATGTGCCGATGAGAAGCTTCGAGTGTTGGGTACGAGCAACATCTTTGTTGCGGATGCCAGCGCCATGCGTGACGGTACGGTGAACCCGTACGCATTCATCATGTACATCGGTCGAGAGGCTGGTGGACAGGCTGAAGCCTACATTTCGAGTGGGGGTGCCGGTAGTGCATCGTCGGTGCCGGTGCCGGTGCCAGTGCAAGGTGGCGGCTGTTCAAGCGTCGAGAAGGACGTTAACTATACTGGCCCGGACGTTGGCAGCGCTAGAATCAGCACTGTTGATGGCTGTTGCACCATTTGTAGGTCCTCGCGTGCCTGCAAAGCATTCACGTGGACGGATTACCAAGGCGGTACATGCTGGTTGAAGAGCGCCAAGGGTGCTGCCGTCACAAGCCCGGGAGCTCAATCGGCGCAACTCGTCTGAGAAGAGATAGGCTGTGACGCCTGATGAATGGGTAGTGCTGTCGGCGACGCGAAGCACTACATGCATAATTGAGATACATTTGTTGTCTGCTGTTTTCTCACGAGTTCTAGTACCTAATGACTCGGCAATATGAGATACCAGCTTGTCAGTAAAAACTACAGTCATGTTGCGGTGAATAAAGGACTGGGTGCTTCTGAGGCAGCGTATCCCTTGCAGTGGTTGGGCATCGACGTTTTGCGAGGATAGTGCATTCAATAAGCTTTGTTGTTGTAACATTTCTTACTGTTTGCAAGTAATCCCTTGTGCTGATTGCACGCTGATGATGGAGGTAGTAAGGGCGTTTATAAAGGTAATTGACACATTTGTTGAACCTCTCGTTGAACCACTAATTAGAGCTTTGAATGAACCTTTTAATGGAGCTAAAGTATCATCCCTAGGTCCTTTTTTTTAATTTAACTAGCAGGTGAGTGATAAAGTAGTCTCGCTACTTTAAGAGCGCGTTTGTAAAGGCAATTGAGCGGCATTCAACTACCACTTAAATTGGTGTTTCAACTTGAGGTGTAACGAACCGTAACGGGGTAACCCGTCACATGGTAGTGACACCAAACGGTGTCAATAGGAACATTGTCCAGCATGACAATTTCCTACTAAAATTATCCGAGATGGATAATATTGAAGGAATATTAACGCCTTGTAGGATAATGTTCACGCACTGCTCAAAGAGTGGTAGTTATAAGACATATCAACCATAGATTGTCACCAATCGCTGCTAGATGCGCGCAATGAGTGGTGAGCAGGTTGTCGTCATACGACGACGTAGTTTACTGTAGTTAGATAAAGATTGAAGTTGTGTTGATTGCTTAACTATATTAATTACAGTTATCTTTTAACCTTTTACTCAGACTAGCTGTTTAAGTAGATTAGCTTCTCTGCACGAACTAGTGTACGTGAAGTTTCGTGGCACCCAAACAAAGGGTGCTTCGTAACGCCTGGTAGCACTTCGTAGTCCGTCCAACGACTGCTTAGTGTCCGTCCAACATGAACATGTTGGACGTAGAAGACGACAGCTTTCACGTCACACGTGAAGGTTACTCCCATCTGAGTGACTCATAATGTGAGACAGTCGGCCGCATGAGTGTGCTCATGGTCGAACCCGCCATCAGTGGCATGTTGGAGTCTCTAAGCAGAGACCAGCTACACGCTGCTATCAACCAGTTCCTAGAAGGGGAACTTGTCGTCGAAAGACAGAAGATATCCTTGCTACAGCAGCAAGGCTCTCATCAGTCGATGGGGGGGGGCCGACGCACATGCGTCGACCCGAAACCTTGAAGATAGATATCTCAAGGTACAAGGGAACCGACGAAGATTCCCTTTTAAGATGGTTCGTCAAGTTAGACGACGCAATCAGGTCCCGTCACATCGAGGGCGACGAGATACAAGTCACCCTCGCCCTGTCAAATTTGACACAGGACGAGCAAAGAATTGGGCCTCAGGGCTCAAGCTTCACGACCCAAACGTGTTTGTGTCGTTGGAGATCTTGAAGTCTCGGCTTGAAGCGACGCTTGAGCCGCTGAGAGCCGAGTGCAGAGCACGCTCTGCACTCTTGAGGCTCAAGCAAGGTAAGCGTGATGTGCATGCTTACGCTCAATACCTATGCTACCTTGCGAGTATCGTTACGGAAGATTCTGTTGATGAGCACATTCTCATCAACGTGTTCATCCACGGCCTTGTAGACGGACCGGTGAAGACCTACATGTTCCGAGAGTACTTCCATACGCTGGAAAAGGCGATAGCGTGTGCGGAACAAGAAGACTTCAGCCTGAGACAGTCTCAGGCTAACTCGTCAAACTTTTGTCCGACGAGACGAAATGAAACGGGAGGCCCCGAATCAATGGACCTCTGTTACATCAAGAGCTAGAACTCTCGCTCTCTGAGTCACAAGCGAACGGCAAGATGCTATCGCTGTCAGAAGGTTGGGCACTACGCTCATGAGTGTAGTGGCCCTAGCACCGCAACACGTCCAAAGACAGGACTTGATGACGGCCGTTGGCGGAGGAAAGGTCCAAGGCGCGTGTCCGACCATGTCGCTAAGCCGGGACAGCAAGTCGGACCGCCAAAACGGACAGGGTCAGTAGGGGTGGAGCACCCTGCTGATTTAGCAACGCCAAGAGAATTTGCAGGACTATTGCTCCCAACACACAGTCGCTGTGTGTTACTACTGCCCCTAGTGATGAGGAGTCTCTCATCTCTTTGAAGATCGAAGTGACAAGTCGAATGTCACTTCGCGCCCTAGTTGTTGACTGTAGGGCGCCGAACAGTTTTATTCGACGCCATTCTCTAGAAGGATGGTAGACTCATCTATGTTGAGCGAGAGTTACCTCCAACGAGGATGACGGTGCGCCTTGTTAGAGGCGCATCCGTAACAGTGAACAAACGTGAAGTGGGAATTCACTACACGATAGAAGGAAAGAAGTACGATGATGACTTCATCGTAATGGATCTGAATGACAAATTTTATGTCATCCTCGGTCTGCCATGGCTTAGAAAGTATCAGCCATGGATCAGCTGGAAGCATCGATCCGTGAAGATGCCTGCCGTTTGTTCATCAGATGGCTATCTGATAAACGTCTTGGAGTGTTTACAAGCGTGTGGATGTACTTCGAGCGAGTGCGATAGTATCACTTGAGGTACGGTCGTTAGTACGAATGCACAAGATCACAGTGTAGAAGGCCTAGACTGTGGAACCAGCTTCCAGCACCTGTGTAGAGACACAGGCTGCACCGAAGGTTCACCACTCGAAGAGATCGAGTGGACTGAAACACGGATACGCACCAAGAAGGGTACATCCGAGAAGAGGGCTTAGTGTTGTTCAGGATGAAAAACACGTTGAAGCGAGATCGACTATCAGAGAGTCGATTATAGAGCAAGCCCGATCAACTGATAGAGAGTCGATCAAAGAGGGCGTGACCGTGATGGTACACGTATTGGAAGAAAGTTCCATCGTTTCTGACAGTGATAACTCCCGAGAGAGTTATGTTGAGTGTGTGGATCCCCAACCATCTGCGGATGTGGTTTCCCAGGATCTCACCGAGTCAGTGAATGTCTTGGTGAATGACGGATCAAGTGTAGGCGCTTATACAATTGATCTGGTGACGCCCCGAAGTCAGCTTCAAAGGTGGTCAGTTGCCAACGGTAGAATCTAAAAGATTCTTCCGAGATCTGCGTTGTGACAAGATCAAACAGATCTGCGTACTCGTCACAGAGGACGAGTACGTCGCCGATATTCGGTCGGCACAAGTGTTTGCTGAGAACGAACGGATTCTCAGTAGCTCATCGATGGACGAGAGTGTCCTCGATGAGACGACTCGGATTGATCGATACACGTCTCAATCTTGGAAGTCTTTGAAGACAAAAATCCTCTGTAAAAGGATTTGGTTGAATTCAGGGATGTTTTCTCGGAATTCGTGCCATGCAAGCTGCCCAAGGACAAAGGCACTCGGCAAGAGATCGAACTGAAACCTGGTTCGAAATACTGTGTCATGAAGCAGTGTCCACTGCCTCGCGAACAGGTAACAGCAATCGACAAATTCTTTTCCGATCGCTTAGCGGCTGGTCATGTGAGGGAATCAACATCCACACACAGCTCTCCGACCTTTGTGTGCGAAAGGCCACAGGAGGATGGAGGATAGTGCACGCGTTCAACAAAATAAACGCTGCAACGGTACCTGCTCGAACGCCGATCCCAAGAAAGGATGCCATCATAGATAGTATGGCAAAAAGTACTACCTTTTCGTCCATGGATTTGATGGATGGATTCTATCAGATCCTCATGCGTGAACGGGACATACCGTACACAGCAGTGAGCACCTCCAGTTGTATGCGCTGAGAGTGGCTAGTGATGCCACAGGGGATAAGTAACGCCCCCGTAACGTTTAACAGATGTGATAAGAACCTGTTCCGATCGGTGCGAGATTTTGCACCGAGTTACTTTGACGATGTCTTCGTCCATAGCCGGGCTATAGATGGAAAGACGGACGTGGATGTTCATAGAATCCTCGTCAGGGAAGGTTCTTACTCTATGCGAGAGCATAATCTGTTCGAAAACCTCAAGAAGTGTATATTCGCAGCGAACGAAATACCACTTCTTGGCTGCATCGTGGGTAAAAATGGCGTACGCCCTGATCCAGAAAAGATCAAGGCGATTAGCGGCTGGCCTGTGCCAGTCGACGTCAAGGAACTTCGAAAAATCCTTGGCTTGGCGGCGTACTTGCACAAGTACTCGCACAACTACGCCGAGATGACCGTACATCTCTTCCGTCTATTAAAGAAAAACGAGAGGTGGTCATGGAGCGCTGAGTGTCAGCACTCTTCTGAAGGCATCAAGAAAAGCTTGATACAAGTGCCTGTGTTGGCGATTGCGGAACAAGACAGACCATTCCATGTGGTCTGTGACGCCAGCGATTTTGCAATTGGCTGCACGTTAATGCAGCACGACTCAGACGGCGTTGAAGGCGTCGTCTGTTATCAATCGCGTCAGCTGTAAGCAGCTGAGCGAAATTACCCAGTGCATGACAAGGAACTCCTTGCCATGAAATATGCACTGGCTAAGTTTCGGGTATATCGCTTTGGAGAGAGGCCCTTCATCGTTTATACCGGCCATGCGTCGTTACGCACGGCCGTAATCAATCCACACCTCTCGCAACGAATGGAGAGGTGGCTGCTTTTCTTCGCGGAGTACAACTTCTACGTTGAGTATAAATCTGGACGACTTAATGTCATCGCTGATGCTCTTTCGCGTCGGCCCGATTTCGAGCTGACTGCTCAACCCAACAGTAAAAGTGATCCCAACGTTGCAACCCTATCAGTGAGTGTTCCGTCGTCGAATCTGCTCGACGATGTGCGAAAGGCATACGCAGAAGATGAGTCTCTTCTGCGATTGATGAATTACGTGTCAAATCCATGCAGTCAAGCTTTGAAAAGCTTGACGTCTCAATACCGCTCTTCAACCGAACGGTATTCGGTTCGTGATGGACTGCTGTACTGTACAGAAGTCACCAGCGACACGCCTCGTGTCGTCGTTCCCGCTCATGATGATTTGCGATTGCGCATTATGTATGAGTGTCACGATACCTCACTGAGTGGGCATCGTGGTATAGAAAAGGCCTACCTCACGGTAAGTCGTGACTTCTACTGTCCCCGCCAGTATGATTTTGTGCGCAGATAAATTCGCGCTTACGAAGTTTGCCAGCGGAAAAAGTCTAGTCCTTAATCCCGTGCACCCTTGCAGCCTCTACCGATTTCGGCAGAGTGCTGGCAATCCGTATCGATGGACTTCGTCTTATGATTTCCCAAAGACGCTGACAAGAATGCTGGTATTCTTGTGTTTGTTGATCGGTTCAGCAAGATGGTACATCGTGTTGCTGTACCGGAGTCAATCACAGCTCAGGGCTGTGCTCGTGTCTTCATCGATACTATCTTCCGCCTTTGCGGGTTACACCGTGAACTCGTGTCGGATAGGAACTCCCGCTTTATAGCGGAGTTCTGGCAATCCGTGTTCCGTTCACTTGGAACGCGTTTGAAGATGTCAACTTCTGACCATCCATAAATAGAGATGGTCAGACGGAACGCGTCAACCGCGTCCTCAAGAGATACTTCGAGGGTACGTCCACTCGTTTACGAGTTGGAGTGAGTTCTTGCCGATGGCGGAATTCGCCATCAACAACTCGGTGCATGCATCGACAACGCATACACCGTTCTTCGTGAATGGAATATGCCATCTACGTTTACCCGCCTTCTTAGACTTTGACTCTAGTTTAATGAGGGGGTGGACTCGCTAGAACGAAAACCGATCTGGTTCTTGCTCATTGCACGTCGACAATGGTGTCGACGTGTGAGATAGTGATGTCGATCACATCGACACCGACGACGATGATGACGAAGATGCTGGTACATTCAGCATCGCCAATGAATCCTACAGTGAGGATGATGACGCCCTCACTGGTGAAGACAACGTTTTTTCAGTAGTGCACACGAATCGCACTGCTGATAACAATGATGAAGCAGCAGAGGCATTTCTGCTGACTCGCGAAGCGGTCGTCCGCTTTGTTCAATACTCTATTGCATATGCAATAGACAAGCAAAAAAGACCCGCAGACAAACATGGAAGAGCGAATGTTCTTACATTTATTAATGGAGACTTAGTTTTACTGTCTACAGTAAATCTACCGAAACACGCAGTGACAAACGTGGACAGCAGTAAATTACTGCCTAAGTGCATTGGTCCATTTCGTGTGTTGCACCGCATGGGCAACGCATACACGATCGAACTGCCTTGTAGGATGTGTACACATCCTACTTTTTACGTTGGACGTCTCCACCCGTACTGTCAGTACGAGCCCATTTAATTAGGAGAAGAACACCTCCGCGGTCAAGGACCTAAACCACCTTCGAGAGGTTCCGTTTCAACGAGCCAGTCTGGTCGACTAACGAAGCGAACTGCTCACGCAGTTGAGCGATGTCCTGACGAGCTGACTTCAGCTCGTCACGAAGGGAACGAGTCGAACGTTCGTTCTCAAGCTGTGCAAACGCAATGCCGCACAATCGTTAGATCGATCGTGCGGTAAGGAATTGTAATCACCCTTTACAATGTCATGAAGCTCACAACGCCGATTCCGTTCATGAGCCAAGTCATCGTGTAGCTGATCCGTTTCACGGTTCCGTTCCAGAACATCAAGCTGATCCGACCCTTGAGCCGGATCAGGCGTTCCCGCCACCACCATATCATTTGGTAGATTCTGGCGGTGGTCAGCCCTTTCTGGTGGATCGTACTTGAAACACTGCGACGTGAAGGGCGTCCAGACGAGTTACCTCGTCCGCTGGGGTGGCTATCCACCTGCCTAGGACAGCTGGGAGCCTCGTCCTTAGCTGATTGTTGACGTACTGGGTCTCGCCGAGCAATAGTACGAGATCCTCCCGCTGCGTTCGAAGAAGAGCCGTCGAAAAACGACCTCCCTGAACGCGAGTACAGGGATTGCAAATTGTCATTCCCTTCGACCATCTCAGAAGAGATGAACGCCCTCCAGTAGGGAACATTAGGGAGGGAGGCTTCCCTAGGGGCACGATCCGAGTTGTCCAGGCTACCTAGGCACACATCACCCCAAGAGAGGCAGGGTTAACCTGCCTCTCTTGACAGTGGGTGCAACTCGTATCGTGCACCGACTGGGTTACGCTTTTCAGACCTGATGCGAGCTGCATCAAGTTTACTGAGCCAAGCCTCACGGCCAATGCACTCGATGTTATGGATGAAGGCATTCCATACTTGCACCGATGCCTTACCTTCCCGACCACGGTTGCCATTGTACCACCGATGCTTGAAGAACAAACCGTGAAGAACTCTTCCCCAGCACGGATAGTTTTCGTGCTGGAATTAGGAGGACAGATCCTCCTACAGTCGAACAGCGGGATTCAATCCTGTTCGGTGGCCATGTCGGGCACTCGATCTAACTCTTGGGATGGCGGCATCCAAGGAGACTCCACTTGAAGAGCGTGACGCAGGACATTTCGGTCCTTGGCCTCTTGAGTGGTGTCAGCACGAGCACGGACACCAGTGGCAGCTCGATCTCTCGAATTGATTATCTCGTGGTGATGCGTAGGGGCATCACCACCATCACCACGCAAGTCTATCGTCGGATAGACTTGCGTGAGGCGAGGATTCGTCGGAAGAATCACTCGGCTCGAAGATCTCTGACATGATGCCGCCACATTCCCCAGAGCCAGTCGACCTGGTTCTTGCAGTGTCCGCCCCAGATGATCCGGAGGCGTGAGGTGTCGCCTTCGAGTCGGATGCATCATCCGACCCGCCAGAATAGATGAGCTCTTTTTCAGGCTCATCTACATTGCGATTCACAGCACCCGCTGCAGACGCAGCGGATGTATCTGTCGCATGCGGTGACTCACCACATGGACTAGTCGCAGCAGGCACTGCCTGTTTCTCACTTGCAATAGCAGGCGAATGACCGCGTGCTGCTGAAGCAAGAGAAGAGCTCTCTTCGGCTGCACGTATGCGTGCAACCACCTTTCTTGCTGCTTCGGTAGCACATCGCATAGACTTTGACACTATACGATGAATTGGCAAATGAGTTGAAATTTGACAGACAAGTGCTCCCCTTCCCAAAGTGATCCAACGGTGGTGACCCTATCCCAATCAATTCTATTCAATCAACGGGTGATTGATGGTTAAGGGGGGAATAAGTAATGGGGTAGCCCGTTACATGATATTGACACCAAAAGGTGTCAATAGGGATATGATCTAGCATGACAATATTCTACCAATTTTATCCGAGATGGATAATATTGAAGGAATATTAACGCCTTGTAGGATAATATTCATGCACTGCTCAAAGAGTGGTAGTTATAAGACATATCAACCATAGATTGTCACCAATCGCTGCTAGATGCGCGCAATGAGTGGTGAGCAGGTTGTCGTCATACGACGACGTAGTTTACTGTAGTTAGATAAAGATTGAAGTTGTGTTGATTGCTTAACTATATTAATTACAGTTATCTTTTAACCTTTTACTCAGACTAGCTGTTTAAGTAGATTAGCTTCTCTGCACGAACTAGTGTACGTGAAGTTTTGTGGCACCTCGAACAAAGGGTACCCAGTTACACAAATGATGTACCGCAAGAACTTTCCGAAATAATTGTCGGAGATGATAATACGGTGAAAATTGATAAAGGTTCTATTCCCAAAATTAAATAGGATTATATGAAGCGCCATATCATTGCTTCGTTCAGGATCCTGGTAATGAAACGTTGGAAGTTGATCGTTTGCACCGCGCTTTCGCATGGCCTATTGCTGAGCCTCAGCCAATCGACGAGTTCGAGATACCTTCAATAGCCGCTATGGCTTTTTATAAATTTATCTTGAATTTGCAGGGCCCACTAACCCTGATCAGCAGTTTGCCGTAGCGGAGACTGACGCAACTGTTCATTTACTTTCCTTTGTTAAATTAATTTCTCTCACTGGGGGTCTACATTACACTTTTGCGGAGCATGATCGAATTAAATTCTGAATGAATGACAGGATAAGACGTCATCGAAGGCTATCACAATCTACCATTCACCTATTGAAAATACCGGAGATGCAGCTCTGATTATTATCGATTTATGCCAGATGATATACAACAACGCTTGAGATTGGCTATTGAAAAGTCTAACTGCTTCGAGTTCTTGGCGTCGGTAACACCAGTAAGCGTAAAAAACATATACAGTAAATCTTACTGGCTACTACGCTTACAGGTATCATCGACGTCAAGAACTCGAAGCAAATGTATAGCAAAAACGGTGTGGTGCCGCTTTTTTTCCGTTTAGCTTTGCTGAATACTACTGGGAGGATTTCACAGGCTGGTTACTGGTGGTATGGTGTAAACGAATAGATGCTGTCGTAATGTTGCCAAAAGATCACATCTGTCAGTTCGTATTTTTCTGTTCGATTGGTTGATTTTTCCGGTCTTTTTTCTCGATGTTCTTGACTCTGAAAAAATTAAAAAAATGACACCGCTATAAATGGCAAACTTAAAGACTAAAAAACGCTCATAGTGTAGTCAAGCTAAAAAAGATCCTGGCATTTCGCGATTGATAGCTACAAAATAATTATAGTCGAAGATTGGCTGAAGAATAGATGCAGGATATTTAGGTTTTGATTGCGATAATTTAAAGTGTTTGGAGAAAGTGTCGATTCGCTATAAATTATTAGAGCAGACTGTTACCAACTACGCGGATACCCCTTTCACGGCGATGAAGTCTCGGTCTTGATTCAAATGTGATTCCGTGGCCGTTTCGGATTCTAATCCCTGTTCCAAAAACTTTATAGAATTTCTGGACGATCCTGATTCTCTAGATGCGTTTTATCTGGAGCTCTCAAATTGCTGTCCCGCTATATTTGTCGTCCCGAAGGATATAGCAAGTCTAAAAATGAAAAATGTTGATGATTTAGCTATTCAATTCAACTTTCACGTGGTACAACAACTTATTATTAAGAAGTCGATTCCTTTGTGCGTGCTAAAAATGCATTGAGAAGAAATTTCCTGATGATTGTATTTGCATAACCAGGTCGTGCACCAGCGTTGTAGATCCAACGTGAACGTTCAGCTAATTCTGATCACCACGTGGCTGTAACCTGCATGGCTAAGTATGCATCCAATGATAAGCATAGTGGAAGGCCTTCGCAGAATATTTACAGGTCTGTGGTGCAACTTGCACAGGATTACGATAAATGAGTTTACAATTGAGATCTCTATTGATTTGGTGCGTTGACCGTCGAAATGTGAGAAGGGGTGAAGCCTCTAGGATGATTTTTGGCGGCAAGCACTGCCATTTATCCTCCAAATTCTGTGAGGCAATCCCTATGAGTCAGGCCTCAACGGTTGCTCATTGACAAAATCACTGGAGAAGTTATCATAGCGGACAACTTGCTGACTCTTTTTGCAAATCGTGCACGAATTCAGCCGCAATATTACAATTGAAACCGCAAGCAACCGTCTAACTTGATTGTATTCTGCCAAAATTCTGCAACCAAGGGTACCAAATTAGCTAAACGTTCTAATCTGAATAGTACTGTTATAGTTACCTTTCCATGTTAAAGTGAAAACAGCCAATCACCTTCGTGCAATGTTTCTTGTAGTGTCCCTTGATCAGATATTTGTCTTGGTCTTTATCAGATCTTGAAGAGATGTACAACGAAGATGACGCCGAAGACAGATGCAAATTTTCGTGGAACCAGCTGATACTAAATTTTTTATGTATTGTCATGAGGATGTCGAGCTTCGGAAATTGCTAGTTATATAAAGGGATAGGGGTGATTATGAACTAATAGAAGCACTGGACTGTAAAAATGATCTTGGGAACACGAGTAATGGAGATTAGCAGCTACAATTTTCGACGTAATGGGCAGAGACCCTATCCTGTTAAGCCAAACTTTGCGTGGCACGAAAAATAAAGTTGAGTTAATCATGGGCATTTTATGTAAATGTTTGAACTCGACAAGTCTTTTATCTCATTAAAAGCCATCACATTTCTGGCATGCTGAACTCCCAGCTTTTACTCGTCGCGATTTGAATTAAAAGCAAATGTAATGTTTGATAGTGTTATTGTAGCTGTGCAAAATGATAATTACCTTTCTATTATGAACGGAAAGGCAGGGAATGGTAAGTTACACACTCTATGTGAAATTTTTACCGCACTCGGTCGTGAAAAAGTTATCCATGAATATTTTTACGGCGAGAGCGTCTTTGTTAATTCGTCAATTTACCTTTTTTTCGATACCAATTGAGGCGGGTTTTCAATCTTTTTAGTAGATTAAAAGAAAAAACGTTAAAAAAAATTTCGGACAGGTTCAACAATGTTCTTGTTGTGATTGTCGATGAGTACTGTATGGTCAGTTTAAACCTGCTGGTAAAAATTGAGAGCCGATTGCGTCAAGATAAGGGTAGATGAAACGTTTCTTTTGGTGTAGTTAATGTGACACGTCAGAGATCCGGGACAGCAACCTGTTGTTGGAAGGACACCTCTGTATAAACAATTCAGTAAACCATTTTGTTTTTGTAAGGAGATATTACCTACGCAAATTTCAAAAGGGTTGTTATTTTGGACCAAGTTGTTCGTCAACAATAGGATTTTGATTACTATCTTCAAGGTAAATTCTTGTGTCTACTTCAGGATCTTCATGACTGAGCTGTGTCTAGGTCTCCGCGGAAGATCTTAGTGACTCAATGATCGTCAGATACTGGTATTCCATTTAAGGAAGATTTTATGAATGCTGTAAGACTTTTTGCTGAAAATAATGAAGTCGGTCGCTTGAATGGAGAAAAGTTGACCAAAAATGGTAATCATATCACGCGCATGATGGCAATTAAAAGTTAGTCATGCGCAAAGTCAATGACTTATGACAAGTTCAGGGGCTTGGAGAACTCATTACATCGTGCCGCTACAGGAAAGGTCAGTTGACACCTAATATTTGACAGGGCGTCGGGCTAACAATTATATGCAGGGGAGTGGTCCGAGGTATTGTGTATGATAACTGCCAAGCCATCACTGATATGCCCATCTTTATTGCTGTAGAATAGTACGACTACATTGGCACACCACTTTTCAAGGAATCTGAAAGACATAGAAATTGGATTTCAATGTCGGCTTCTAAGTTTTTTTTAATGATTACGAAACAAACGGACGCAACACCCGCTCTGATTTTCATATGTTATCACCATACATGAGAGCCAAGAGCATACATTGGATCGTGTTGTTGTGAAATTGATAAATATTTAGAGTACTATTGGATAGGGTTTTGTCGCGACAAAATCATAGAATCAAAGAATTTGCCGCCACGAAAGGTGATAAAGTTAAGGTTGACCGAGCTGGCCAGAAATAATCATCACGCAGATTATTTTGAAATTAATTCTACTTATTAGTGCTACGTAATCATACTTATTGATCACAAAACGTATTAGATTGTCAGATGCACGTGGATGCTTTTATTTTGTAAATTTAAGAAATTATTGGTTAATTAAATCATGAAACGTGTACTTAATAACTTTAGGCATTTGAACTGTGCCACTAAGCTTATGACGTCATACCGGCTACGTCCCAGGATACTATAACCCCTTTGGTCGCGCGCTTCTTAGAAAAGGGTTTATAGTTTGGACGCTTGGTATGACAAGAGCCTGGTTCCCGGACGGAGTTGACACTTTGGCTGGCTTCCTCCTTAAGCTATACAGAGGTCAGACACACAATCATCATATAGTCTTTTAATCGTTTGCATAAAGCATATTTTCTAGCGAAACTTGTACTATAATTACATCCTTACCTTCTACATCTACAACAAATGTACGCGTTTGCTCATTTCGTTTGTTTTTACTTGTTTTTAAAAATCTAACCATCCGATTAAATCACATCTTTCATATAACAGAGACCAGAGCAGCAAACTGGGCAAAACAGTGTGGGCGTTCTCTCACCGACAGCAGTGTGAGTGGTGCCTTGCTACCTTTGTAAACAACGCAGAGGAAGGGAAAGCAACTAGGAACTGCCTACTTGCTGGTAAAAGTAAAATTATATAGAATAAAATCAATCCCTAATCAATCAATAACCTATGTTTAAGTCCTACCTTAATCATATTTGTCTACAAAATGCAGGCTAAAGTCTTGTTCACCGCGCGTTCATCGTTTATTGGACCGCTAGAGCTGGATAATATGATGAAACATATCAGCTAATCGGAGTGTTTCTATATACTACCCCTTATGGTAATATTTACAGGCACTATAAAGCTTTATGATACTATTCTAATCAACAAGTATAAAGGTTTAATTATGTGTAACAGGCTCACCCCGTTAAATTTAAGACATAAGTTCGTTCGTGATAATTCATACATTCGTTGCTATACATATGTATGGCCTATAAAACTGACATGTCTATAAGACTAAACGAAGATGTAATAATCTGAAACTTGATTTAGTTCTTCGAACTGAATTACTTATCAAAGAGCGAGCTCCAGAGCTTGCACCCTCATTTTGTTCTATTTAGCTACTTCCATCACTGTATAGTGCTCCCTATGGTATTATTTCTCTAGAATACTGATAACCTTCGCAATATTATAGGATGGAAAGTCCACCGGGGTCGTTCTGTGGTTGTTATCTGATAGCCAACTTATCATTTGTAATTAATAGCCATGAAGCGAGATATTACTTAGAACATAAAGAATTTACACCAATTGTGGGGCTGTTACCCTGCATCGAGGGTACTTTGTGTTGCGTCGGCATTGTGAATAACATCATGTAGGCTGTACAGTAGCTTGAACGCAGAACGGTGGGTTTCCTTGGACAGATGATACAAGGTGCGGAAACTCCCTGATATAGAGATGTGATCGAATCTGGTCAATCTGTTTGTAATTGCATCCTCGTCTGATTCAGCTCCTTCCTATCATTCGATCCTTTCCTACACTGAGTTTAGAATCTCTTGATCATTGAGCTATGGCTCAGAACGCTCGTCTTCATCAAAGGTGAATCAGCTAATCAATGGCGAGTCAACCAAAACTTACGTTTTGTTTCCAACGCAAATTACCAGCCTCGGCAAGCGACTAGGATGGATAGTGTCTTTACCTGTGTTAGTGTTCTCTATGGCTATTTCCTGCTGATTTTGTATAAGTTGTTTTGGGAGTAAAAGAGGAGTGAGTGGTTCTGGATAATGATTTCACCTTTTTAACCTTTAATGAGTACTGAATTGCGTATTTGGAAATGATGGATTCAGGGTTTGATGAGCCGGACAGACATGGGACTTCGCGGCCGAGGAAGGGACCGGAGACTTGGGGGGTCATAGATAAGGAGCGGGTTTTGGGTCAAATCGTGACGAGCAATTAAGATTACTGCCAACGAGGTCAAGTCGACCGACGGTACCACTTAAACGGTACTAATAGGGATCATTCTCAACCACTCGTCCGTCGGCTTGGTCGCCCAAGGTGGGACCCGGTCATCTGTAGGCCGACGTGGCCACTCATCAGCCGACCTGGTCACGCATTAGTCAAAGCCTCCAAACCTCAAGGTTTGAAAGCTCCAAGCCACTCATCATTGCGAACCCAGGTGCAAGGCAAACATTGAGCAAATCAGTTATTTGAATAAGACACTATTATATACTACTTAATTTGCGATCTAAGTATCACAAGTGTCGTGCGCTAATAAGCTTGTAAGTCTACCGACCTGTTACGGACCAGGCATCTATTTGGCCCACCCTTCGAATAGAAAGTTTTCAGTAAGACCCATGTAACGGGGCACCATTTGTTCGAGGTGCCACAAAACATCACGTTCACTAGTTCGTGCAGAGAAGCTAATCTACTTAAACAGCTAGTCTGAGTAAAAGGTTAAAAGATAACTGTAATTAATATAGTTAAGCAATCAACACAACTTCAATCTTTATCTAACTACAGTAAACTACGTCGTCGTATGACGACAACCTGCTCACCACTCATTGCGCGCATCTAGCAGCGATTGGTGACAATCTATGGTTGATATGTCTTATAACTACCACTCTTTGAGCAGTGCGTGAATATTATCCTACAAGGCGTAAATATTCCTTCAATATTATCCATCTCGGATAAAATTGGTAGGATATTGTCATGCTAGATCATATCCCTATTGACACCTTTTGGTGTCAATATCATGTAACGGGCTACCCCATTACTTATTCCCCCCTTAACCATCAATCACCCGTTGATTGAATAGAATTGATTGGGATAGGGTCACCACCGTTGGATCACTTTGGGAAGGGGAGCACTTGTCTGTCAAATTTCAACTCATTTGCCAATTCATCGTATAGTGTCAAAGTCTATGCGATGTGCTACCGAAGCAGCAAGAAAGGTGGTTGCACGCATGCGTGCAGCCGAAGAGAGTTCTTCTCTTGCTTCAGCAGCACGCGGTCATTCGCCTGCTATTGCAAGTGAGAAACAGGCAGTGCCTGCTGCGACTAGTCCATGTGGTGAGTCACCGCATGCGACAGATACATCCGCTGCGTCTGCAGCGGGTGCTGTGAATCGCAATGTAGATGAGCCTGAAAAAGAGCCCATCTATTCTGGCGGGTCGGATGATGCATCCGACTCGAAGGCGACACCTCACGCCTCCGGATCATCTGGGGCGGACACTGCAAGAACCAGGTCGACTGGCTCTGGGGAATGTGGCGGCATCATGTCAGAGATCTTCGAGCCGAGTGATTCTTCCGACGAATCCTCGCCTCACGCAAGTCTATCCGACGATAGACTTGCGTGGTGATGGTGGTGATGCCCCTACGCATCACCTACGAGATAATCAATTCGAGAGATCGAGCTGCCACTGGTGTCCGTGCTCGTGCTGACACCACTCAAGAGGCCAAGGACCGAAATGTCCTGCGTCACGCTCTTCAAGTGGAGTCTCCTTGGATGCCGTCATCCAAAGCGTTAGTTCGAGTGCCCGACATGGCCACCGAACAGGATTGAATCCCGCTGTTCGTCTGTAGGAGGATCTGTCCTCCTAATTCCAGCACGAAAACTATCCGTGCTGGGGAAGAGTTCTTCACGGTTTGTTCTTCAAGCATCGGTGGTACAATGGCAACCGTGGTCGGGAAGGTAAGGCATCGGTGCAAGTATGGAATGCCTTCATCCATAACATCGAGTGCATTGGCCGTGAGGCTTGGCTCAGTAAACTTGATGCAGCTCGCATCAGGTCTGAAAAGCGTAACCCAGTCGGTGCACGATACGAGTTGCACCCACTGTCAAGAGAGGCAGGTTAACCCTGCCTCTCTTGGGGTGATGTGTGCCTAGGTAGCCTGGACAACTCGGATCGTGCCCCTAGGGAAGCCTCCCTCCCTAATGTTCCCTACTGGAGGGCGTTCATCTCTTCTGAGATGGTCGAAGGGAATGACAATTTGCAATCCCTGTACTCGCGTTCAGGGAGGTCGTTTTTCGACGGCTCTTCTTCGAACGCAGCGGGAGGATCTCGTACTATTGCTCGGCGAGACCCAGTACGTCAACAATCAGCTAAGGACGAGGCTCCCAGCTGTCCTAGGCAGGTGGATAGCCACCCCAGCGGACGAGGTAACTCGTCTGGACGCCCTTCACGTCGCAGTGTTTCAAGTACGATCCACCAGAAAGGGCTGACCACCGCCAGAATCTACCAAATGATATGGTGGTGGCGGGAACGCCTGATCCGGCTCAAGGGTCGGATCAGCTTGATGTTCTGGAACGGAACCGTGAAACGGATCAGCTACACGATGACTTGGCTCATGAACGGAATCGGCGTTGTGAGCTTCATGACATTGTAAAGGGTGATTACAATTCCTTACCGCACGATCGATCTAACGATTGTGCGGCATTGCGTTTGCACAGCTTGAGAACGAACGTTCGACTCGTTCCCTTCGTGACGAGCTGAAGTCAGCTCGTCAGGACATCGCTCAACTGCGTGAGCAGTTCGCTTCGCTAGTCGACCAGACTGGCTCGTTGAAACGGAACCTCTCGAAGGTGGTTTAGGTCCTTGACCGCGGAGGTGTTCTTCTCCTATCTAAATGGGCTCGTACTGACAGTACGGGCGGAGACGTCCAACGTAAAAAGTAGGATGTGTACACATCCTACAAGGCAGTTCGATCGTGTATGCGTCGCAACACACGAAATGGACCAATGTACTTGGGCAGTAATTTACTGCTGTCCACGTTTGTCACTGCGTGTTTCGGTAGATTTACTGTAGACAGTAAAACTAAGTCTCCATTAATAAATGTAAGAACATTCGCTCTTCCATGTTTGTCTGCGGGTCTTATTTGCTTGTCTATTGCATATGCAATAGAGTATTGAACAAAGCGGACGACCGCTTCGCGAGTCAGCAGAAATGCCTCTGCTGCTTCATCATTGTTATCAGCAGTGCGATTCGTGTGCACTACTGAAAAAACGTTGTCTTCACCAGTGAGGGCGTCATCATCCTCACTGTAGGATTCATTGGCGATGCTGAATGTACCAGCATCTTCGTCATCATCGTCGTCGGTGTCGATGTGATCGACATCACTATCTCACACGTCGACACCATTGTCGACGTGCAATGAGCAAGAACCAGATCGGTTTTCGTTCTAGCGAGTCCACCCCTCATTAAACTAGAGTCAAAGTCTAAGAAGGCGGGTAAACGTAGATGGCATATTCCATTCACGAAGAACGGTGTATGCGTTGTCGATGCATGCACCGAGTTGTTGATGGCGAATTCCGCCATCGGCAAGAACTCACTCCAACTCGTAAACGAGTGGACGTACCCTCGAAGTATCTCTTGAGGACGCGGTTGACGCGTTCCGTCTGACCATCTCTATTTATGGATGGTCAGAAGTTGACATCTTCAAACGCGTTCCAAGTGAACGGAACACGGATTGCCAGAACTCCGCTATAAAGCGGGAGTTCCTATCCGACACGAGTTCACGGTGTAACCCGCAAAGGCGGAAGATAGTATCGATGAAGACACGAGCACAGCCCTGAGCTGTGATTGACTCCGGTACAGCAACACGATGTACCATCTTGCTGAACCGATCAACAAACACAATAATACCAGCATTCTTGTCAGCGTCTTTGGGAAATCATAAGACGAAGTCCATCGATACGGATTGCCAGCACTCTGCCGAAATCGGTAGAGGCTGCAAGGGTGCACGGGATTAAGGACTAGACTTTTTCCGCTGGCAAACTTCGTAAGCGCGAATTTATCTGCGCACAAAATCATACTGGCGGGGACAGTAGAAGTCACGACTTACCGTGAGGTAGGCCTTTTCTATACCACGATGCCCACTCAGTGAGGTATCGTGACACTCATACATAATGCGCAATCGCAAATCATCATGAGCGGGAACGACGACACGAGGCGTGTCGCTGGTGACTTCTGTACAGTACAGCAGTCCATCACGAACCGAATACCGTTCGGTTGAAGAGCGGTATTGAGACGTCAAGCTTTTCAAAGCTTGACTGCATGGATTTGACACGTAATTCATCAATCGCAGAAGAGACTCATCTTCTGCGTATGCCTTTCGCACATCGTCGAGCAGATTCGACGACGGAACACTCACTGATAGTGTCGCAACGTTGGGATCACTTTTACTGTTGGGTTGAGCAGTCAGCTCGAAATCGGGCCGACGCGAAAGAGCATCAGCGATGACATTAAGTCGTCCAGATTTATACTCAACGTAGAAGTTGTACTCCGCGAAGAAAAGCAGCCACCTCTCCATTCGTTGCGAGAGGTGTGGATTGATTACGGCCGTGCGTAACGACGCACGGCCGGTATAAACGATGAAGGGCCTCTCTCCAAAGCGATATACCCGAAACTTAGCCAGTGCATATTTCATGGCAGGAGTTCCTTGTCATGCACTGGGTAATTTCGCTCAGCTGCTTACAGCTGATGCGATTGATAACAGACGACGCCTTCAACGCCGTCTGAGTCGTGCTGCATTAACGCGCAGCCAATTGCAAAATCGCTGGCGTCACAGACCACATGGAATGGTCTGTCTTGTTCCGCAATCGCCAACACAGGCACTTGTATCAAGCTTTTCTTGATGCCTTCAGAAGAGTGCTGACACTCAGCGCTCCATGACCACCTCTCGTTTTTCTTTAATAGACGGAAGAGATGTACGGTCATCTCGGCGTAGTTGTGCGAGTACTTGTGCAAGTACGCCACCAAGCCAAGGATTTTTCGAAGTCCCTTGACGTCGACTGGCACAGGCCAGCCGCTAATCGCCTTGATCTTTTCTGGATCAGGGCGTACGCCGTTTTTACCCACGATGCAGCCAAGAAGTGGTATTTCGTTCGCTGCGAATATACACTTCTTGATGTTTTCGAACCGATTATGCTCTCGCATAGAGTAAGAACCTTCCCTGACGAGGATTCTATGAACATCCACGTCCGTCTTTCCATCTATAGCCCGGCTATGGACGAAGACATCGTCAAAGTAACTCGGTGCAAAATCTCGCACCGATCGGAACAGGTTCTTATCACATCTGTTAAACGTTACAGGGGCGTTACTTATCCCCTGTGGCATCACTAGCCACTCTCAGCGCATACAACTGGAGGTGCTCACTGCTGTGTACGGTATGTCCCGTTCACGCATGAGGATCTGATAGAATCCATCCATCAAATCCATGGACGAAAAGGTAGTACTTTTTGCCATACTATCTATGATGGCATCCTTTCTTGGGATCGGCGTTCGAGCAGGTACCGTTGCAGCGTTTATTTTGTTGAACGCGTGCACTATCCTCCATCCTCCTGTGGCCTTTCGCACACAAAAGGTCGGAGAGCTGTGTGTGGATGTTGATTCCCTCACATGACCAGCCGCTAAGCGATCGGAAAAGAATTTGTCGATTGCTGTTACCTGTTCGCGAGGCAGTGGACACTGCTTCATGACACAGTATTTCGAACCAGGTTTCAGTTCGATCTCTTGCCGAGTGCCTTTGTCCTTGGGCAGCTTGCATGGCACGAATTCCGAGAAAACATCCCTGAATTCAACCAAATCCTTTTACAGAGGATTTTTGTCTTCAAAGACTTCCAAGATTGAGACGTGTATCGATCAATCCGAGTCGTCTCATCGAGGACACTCTCGTCCATCGATGAGCTACTGAGAATCCGTTCGTTCTCAGCAAACACTTGTGCCGACCGAATATCGGCGACGTACTCGTCCTCTGTGACGAGTACGCAGATCTGTTTGATCTTGTCACAACGCAAATCTCGGAAGAATCTTTTAGATTCTACCGTTGGCAACTGACCACCTTTGAAGCTGACTTCGGGGCGTCACCAGATCAATTGTATAAGCGCCTACACTTGATCCGTCATTCACCAAGACATTCACTGACTCGGTGATTTCCTGGGAAACCACATCCGCAGATGGTTGGGGATCCACACACTCAACATAACTCTCTCGGGAGTTATCACTGTCAGAAACGATGGAACTTTCTTCCAATACGTGTACCATCACGGTCACGCCCTCTTTGATCGACTCTCTATCAGTTGATCGGGCTTGCTCTATAATCGACTCTCTGATAGTCGATCTCGCTTCAACGTGTTTTTCATCCTGAACAACACTAATCCCTCTTCTCGGATGTACCCTTCTTGGTGCGTATCCGTGTTTCAGTCCACTCGATCTCTTCGAGTGGTGAACCTTCGGTGCAGCCTGTGTCTCTACACAGGTGCTGGAAGCTGGTTCCACAGTCTAGGCCTTCTACACTGTGATCTTGTGCATTCGTACTAACGACCGTACCTCAAGTGATACTATCGCACTCGCTCGAAGTA